CTTTCTTAGTTGCATTTTAGCTGTATATTTCTGCCATCATTTTTTGTTTATGGAAATGGACACTTCACTTGGCATTATGCCCACAGTTTCTAATTCCTTCCTCTCTGAGTAAATTTCCGGAAAACTAGGGATAGAATGCATTGGTACAACTCCACACAGTGACTCAGACATTCTAGGAACATATTTGAACTAATTATGTAGATAACTGCTGTAATGGTTAATACTGAGTGTCAACTTGATTGGATTGAAAGATAAAAATATTGATCCTGGGTGTGACTGTAAGGATGTTGCCAAAGGAGATTAACGTTTGAGTCAGTGGGCTAGGAAGGGCAGACCCACCCTTAATCTGGGTGGGCACCATCTAATCAGCTGCCAGCTCAGCCAGAATAAAAAGCAGGCAGAAAAACATAAAAAGGCTAGACTGGCTTAGCCTCACAGCCTACATCTTTCTCCTGTGCTGGATGCTTCCCGCAATCAAACATGGGACTCCAAGTTCTTTAGCTTTGGGATTTGGACTGCTTTCTTTGCTCCTCAGCTTGCAGACAGCCTATTGTGGGACCTTGTGATTATGTGAGTAATACTATTTAATAAACTCCTACACACACACACACACACACACACACACACACACGTATATCTCCTATTAGTTCTGTCTGTCTAGAGAACCCTGTCAAAGATATATATGCAACATTCTTAGTTGCAGCATCGTTTAAAAGAGGAAAACTGAGAAACAACCTATATATCTTTCAATTTATTCTCAACCATAAAGTTTTGGTACATCCAAAGACAGAAATACTACATACACATTACAAAACAAACAAACAAACAAAAAACTGGCTTAAACTGACACAGGTATATAATAGGCTAGGAAAGTGTGATGTTCATAGTATGTTAAGTAAGATCATTATATAATCATAGATATATTATTCTGCGTGCATATGATAGAAAATGTATTAGCCAAGCAAGAGGATTTTTCAGTTTAGATTGTATAAATACTATAATTTTTATAGAAAAACATATAAGAATATTAAAAATTATATTTTTAAAAAGTAAATGAATTGAATTCTCCACTTTGACAATTTTTAAGCGTACAATTCAGTGACATTAATTGCATTCATAAAATTGTGCAACCAGCACCACTGTCTAGTTCTCAAATTTTTTATAAACCCAAGAGGAATTTTGTAACCACTAAGTTATAACTCCCACTCTCTCCTCCCCCAAGCTGTTGGTAATCTTTAATTTCTTTCTGTCTCAGTGAATGTGCCTAATTTATTAATAGATGTTCCATATGAGTGTAAGCGTACAATATTTTCTCTCTGCATCTGATTTATTTCAAGCAAATTTTGTTCTATATTTTTGCCACAAAAAAATTAAATGGATTGAGACACTGAGAATTTATGGGCAATAAATGTACATTCATTTTATTTGTAACCATTGGTAGTTTTTTACCCAATCCAACACAATCCTGCATTTTCTGAAGGATTTGCCTCTGTATTCATTCAACCAATGCTTCATATTGCTCTGCTGCAAATGCTGCTTGTTGAAAGCATGTGAAAGTCAGCAACTGCATGTCAGCTCTGCTTCCACTAGATAGATCTATCTTCTTACTGCTGCTTCTCACTTTAGGGTGGCTTCTGTGGCAGTGGTCCTCCTGTCACTTTTGGAACAAGACACATTTTGCATTGAAGTTGTTGCCTGTCTGACGTCCTATCTTCCTAGGTGTTCACAGGATACTTTTAGGCTGACTGTTTCTGTTGGAATTCTTAAACCACAGGTTGTACAAGAAATGTGGTACCAACATCTGCATCCAGTGAGGCCTCACATTGCTTCTACTTGGCAGAGGTGAAGTGGAGCCAGCATGTGCAAAAATCACATGGCAAGAGATATAGAGAGAGGTAGAAAGAGATGCCAGGCTCTTTTTAACTGTCAGTTCCCCTAGGAACTCTCTCATAACTGCAAGGACAGCACCAAGTAATTCATAAGGAGATCCATCCCTATGACCCAAACACCTCCCACTGGGCCCCACCTCCAACACTCGGAGCCAATTTCAACATGACATTCAGAGGGTCAAATATCAAAACAATAGCAGATGGATAATGACTTTTTCTACAGGTCAGAGAATAAAGTTATATGGATCTTACCAAAGACAGAAAGCCATCATTTGATATCTGAATCACTTACCTGAAGACTCTAATAAAGAAGACATAAGAAAAGTGCATCAAAATTTTATTTCTTTGTTTGTTTGTAGAAAGTGATTTATTTAGAGAGAGAGAGAGAAACAGGAGGAGAAAGAAATAAAGAGCTAACTCTCACACTGAGTGAGAGAATCCAGAAAGATGGAATCCAGGAGAGGAAAGCAGCTTCCACACTGAGTGGAAGGGAATAGAGAGATGGAGTTTGGGAAGGGAAGACAGGCTTTCATGAAGGGAGGGTTCATGGAAGGGGACTCCAGAGGGGAAATCCTGGATAGAGAAAAACAGCTTCCATGAGCACAAGAGTGTTCGTGGAAGGGGATCCAAACATGGAGTCCCCAAAGTTTTATTTCTAAGAAATAAATTTGCATATAACTCAAATGTAACAACTCTGGTATTCATCAATACAGCTATTATATCAATGCAGCAATTATATAACACAAAAGGGTTATAATAACATGGAAAATGTTTGTGAACTGTAAAGTGAAAAGATATAAAAAATTACTATGCCTACTGATATTACCTTTGAAAAAGGACTCATAAAAAATACATTGCATATAAAAGTTGGCTGAATAAAATATTAACTGTGATACTTTCTTACAGATTATGGTTATCTTCTTCCATATAATTTTAATATGTACTAAAATTCATGTGTTTATTTGATAATCAGAATATGTCATAATTAAATGTTCTGCTATGCCATTTCAACAGTTTATCAGAGCTTCTTACAGTGAATGTCACATTAAATTAGAATCTGAGTAAATAGTGTTTAAAAATAGCTGATACATTTGAAGTTTAGGCTAAAAAACTCATATTTTTATTTGTAAAATGTGCTCAGTGTTAATTTTATTGATAATAACCAAAATCTAACCTAATATTATATGATTTTTAAATTATTTTTAAGCACAAATTAGACATATGTTGGGGATGAATAACACGTCTGATTTTGCTAATTTTGTATGCTACTTTTTCCTATATTTCCTTGTTTTCTTCATCCTAAAATTTTAAAAAATGAAAACTTTAATCATTATTGAATGTTTACACTATTGAATGTTTTCTTTTGTTAACTGAAGTAAAAGAAGGCATTCTTGTAGAATTATGGAAGCTAACAATGTAGTACGACCTAAAATGGAATGTTGGGACGTTCTTCATTTTAAGGGTCTTCCTGTGGGAGAAGTTTCCATCGAACTGTTGTATCAATTTTGTCATCAACATTTCCCAGCTCCTGCTCTTTACAGAGTTCTAAGAATACCTAAGTAAGAGAAAATAAAAAAGATACAAAAATGTCACAGTGTTTCTGAAAGATGGTTTCATATAGAGGTTATCTGGATGATACTCTCTTGTTCAAAGAAAACGCACCTGCTCCAAAGTAGCCTGAGAAAAGCTGTATTCCTCCAGGTTGAAGGTCTGTTTCACTGCATTTAAAGAGGCTGACATTAGTGGCTTATATATTTTTCACCAAGTATTTGTAAAGTCACAATAGAGATAGTAACTTCAAACTGTTTAGATACTATAAGATATAGGCCAAATAATTACATTTCCTTGAAAGATAAATTTAAGAAGAGTGCTGATATGGCTAATAAAAGATAGCCATGCGTGAACATATTCAATTTCCTATAAACTCTCTCTAAAAAGCTCCTTATGTCCTATTTTAGTAATAATCTTTTGATTATTTACATGTATGCTTTAGACTCCAAAGCAGCTGTTGAGAATAATTTATTCTATATTTATAAATCTGTGGAGAAGTCCATTCCTTGCTGGCTCCCTTTTAACAGATCTCACACTTCTACATTCTGCAACAATAGCCATAAATGCATGGTGTCTCTGGAACTAGTTCAGAAGCCTCTCCTCAATCGTGACTTGTTACATCTCACCCCTCTGTGTTTTCCTTCGCTGATCTTCACTCAGTCCTCCTATTGTTGCCTCTGTACATTTGATCCTGGTACTTTGATTTTTAGAAACAGAGAGAACCCAAAAGCTCACCTTGATACTCTTTGGGACAACATTCTTATAATTATCCTTCAATTCTATGCACTGGTGTCATGGTAAGAAACAGCCCTGGTACCCCAGTTCAGTCCTACAGGATGGAATAACCTGACTGATCTGTGGCTGGGCTTCCTCGTCAGTACAGGAAGAATTGTGTGGACCAAACCCACATCTAGGACCACCACTTAATTTCCTTTGAGATTGTTAAGACTATTCTGGTAGGGATTTTCCAAGTTTTGATTGATTATTTAATTGTTCTACTTGAAAGTGCATAGTATATATTCTACATGAAAATATGCAACCAATACATAAAGTCTTATTTATATAAACCCAAATTTACCTGCATCTAATTTGAAAAAGTCCCAAGATAGAGGGTGGACACGCTCCGCAGGTAACTTATATGCCATTGAGGAGGAATATCTGTCAGGAAGAAGAGTGAGCTTTATCACTAAGTTTCAGTGTGATAACACTGGGGAGGAATTAAAAGGCAAAGTAAAATAATTTTTCAAAGTGTTCTTTAAATAAAAATGTCTGATTTGATAGAGCATGAATTGGTGTGAAATAACTTATATTCAGTCATAAAAAATGTTATAACAACAAAAATCTAGTTGCCTCTAATTTTATGTTAAAGATAAATTTTGAGAAACAGCTCTGATCAAGAATCTTTCCCACTCAGCCTGCACTTTCTTATTGTACTATATTTCTTACTCTCAAAAAGCAACCTTTTTGAATGTTTGCATTACTTTTCCCTCTCATAGTAGAGATTGAGATTTAATTTTTAATCTTTCCTATAAGAATTAAAATATGTTGAACTCTCCTGCTAAAAAATAATTCTTGACCTTCAACCCCCTTTCACGTTGCACAATCCAATGAACACTCTTCAGTCCTCATTTTCAGACTTCTTAAAGCCATTAAATAAAATTGTACACATCCTCCTTAAAACAAACATACTCTTTCTCTCTTACCTTCTGAGACAACCACACTTATGATTTTCCTTTTAATTCTCTAGGCCTGCACTGTTTAATAGAGTAACTACTAACTACATGTGGCTATTTAAAGTAATTAAAATAAATAAGTCCTACCTCAATGTCATATCCTCGTTTATTTGCATTTTCATTTGCTTAATATCTTCACCTCCAAAAGAGAAGAACTTTGTCTATTTTGTTGACTGTTCAACATACAGCCTGCAGTCGATAATAGGTGTCCAATAAATATAATAAATATTATAAAAATAAATGAATAGAAGTAGTATATCAGAAAATTCTGTTCATCTTTCAATTAAATTCAGCCTCATTCTGCTATTCACAATGGTTTGATTACTATTACTTATAACCCATGGCTGACCACGTACAACTTTAAAATAAACATTGGGAGGACCAAATGATGATTCGATTGAATAATTCCAGATAGAGTAAATACTTCTCAAGCATGGAAGTCTGTGTTACAGAGCTCTTGATACAATTTATATTCAGCAAAATCCTGTAGGTGAAAGTATTGTTTTCATTGTCTATTTTTAAAAATCATTAAAAAGTTGATAGTTTAATTTGTCTATGCTTTGTTCTTAATCTCCAAGCCATTCCACCATTTACACACATACAAAGGAATGCACACACACATCATTCACTTTTTCTGAGGTCTAAAACACTCACTGAAAATAACTTTTTAGTTTTTACCACATATCCTAGCAATCCTCAAATAACTTGTTTTGTGATGAACAAGCCTGCTCAGTCTTTCTCTTCCTGTTTAGACTAGCACAAAACTAAATGATACAAATACTGGAAAATACTTATACTTGTTACTCAAACCAAAAACATCATTTACCTTTCCTCCCAGCAGCCTGTGGGAAAATACAAAATCTCTGTGTGAAGAGGTTCCACCTGAGTAGGTTCTTTCATTTTTTAATTTCTAGCAAATAATCTTTACCAAACTTGTTTTTCAGATGTTGAATGCAACAAATACACCTAGTTCAGGGTAGATAAAGAAAGAAAAAATACTTGTCTCTTAATTTCTTCCTCAGTTCTCACTGTAGAGGAAGATGTTTAATTATACATTAGGGAGCTGAAGAGCATCAGCTGTTCACAGCAAACTGAAACTCTCTCTACAAGAACATCCTAGTCCTGCGCTGGCTCAGGGCAGGCACCTACCTACCTTAGCGTTCCTGACACCATCATGGCTACATGGTGACACACAGCCTTAGCCTCTGACATGTAATGGGTGGTCAAGAGGGCACCCCACTCCTTGGTTTTAACAGTAGCCCAAAGTGTCTGCCTAAAAATAAAGTAAGGGATTGTTCGCATTTAGAAAGTAATTTGGGAAAATAGATAAGCAGGAAAAAGCATGAAATCTAAAGAGAAAATTTTATGTTAGGATACAAGAAGCTTGTATGGTGAAACCCTATCTCTACAAAAAAGTTAAATATTAGCCAGACATGGTGGCACATGCCTGTGGTCCTAGCTACTCAGGAGGCTGAGGTGAGTGGATCACTTAAGCCCAAGAGGCTGAGGTTGCAGTGAGCTATGATTGCACCACTGCATTTAAGCCTTGGCGACAGAGCAAGACCCTGTCTCAAGTAATATAATAAAATAAATACATGAATAATAAATAAATTAGGCTACAAGAGAAAATCTTTGCCATAGATAAAAAGAATAAAAATTGTGCTACATTACCTAAGGGTAGTACCATATTAATAGGCTTCATAAAAAGAAGAGTATTGGAAAATATTGATTAAAATAATCCACTATTGGGGAAGAAAAGTTGGGGTAAAAAATAGAGAAATATCACACTATATGACTTTCAATAATTGAAAAATGAAATGGAAAAATAAAATACAGGGGGAAGAGGAATAAGAGAAGAAAAATCCAATCAAATATAATCAAGAGTCTATTTGGGTCTTAAAATGTTTATTTTTTCCTTCCTGGAGGAATTTGAATGCTATATTAAATTTCACTGAATTACGTAATAGAGGATGTGCACATCAAAGGTTAAATGGAACAAAATGTAACAAACAAACATACACACAAAAAACCAACCTAGATGTATTCTAATGACTCTGACACTTAATATTCACTCTCCTTACCACATTTGCTGCTGCCCCTTGGGGTCCATCCCGGTGAATGGCTCATCTAGAAGTACCACTGATGGGTTCCTCAGGATGCTCAGCATGAAGCACAGCTTCAATGGGAGGAACAGCCCATGGGCACCCAGCCATGGGTGCACAGAGCAACCCCGAGCCTGGCCTATAACTTTCTCTTTATTTCCTCTGATAGAGTTTTCACAGGAGCCTTAAGTTGCTCCTGGAGATTGAGAGCTTCCATCAATCTGACAAAAAACAGTGTGATTATACATGAAGTGTACAGCAAATGGACCTATCTGAAATAACTACAGGAAGCCCTTAGCACTATTATTCTAGATAGTAAATTTAAGCTTCCTTAACATTTTCATAAATGCTAAATCTTATGATTTGGTTCTTATTCAGGTATTTCAAACATTTTATTTGCATGAAAATTTAAAGACATTGTTTATGATCTCCTTTTTTTTATATAATAAAGAGATTACATATTTTTCCCTTCATTCAGCTACAAATTGTGAGACTTCTCTCTGTACCATGAAATACTAAGAGTAGCATCCTTTTTACCCAGTCCTTTCGCAGCTGCATACAACTCCAGGTGCTCTTTCATTGTAAGCTCAGGCCACAGTGAGTTCTCCTGAGGGCAGTACCCCAAGAACTTGAGGCTGTTGTCATACTGTTGCATTACTGATGCTCTGCTCCCTGTAACACCACCTATGCAGGACAATGAATACCAGATCCACCTTTGGTTTTTGCTCCAATCTGCTCTACTAAAAGAGATAAAAGTGGCCATTAAGCTACAATATTTTTTGAATACTCAGGATAAATTTTATAAATTCTTTCATCTATTTTTCTATATTTGATTTACTGATAGGAATAACAGAAGGATGTCATCAATATTTAAAACAAAATTTCCTTCACATGTCACATACCACTCCTGCAGTGTACCCAGTGATCACTTTAATGGAACTACTTTTACCAGCTCCATTGTGGCCTAGTTATCCTAAAATTTCACCTGGAAGAAAGAGTCACCATCAGTATTTGAATTTTCAAGGCTGATTAATCTAAAATTGCTTGGTTGGTTCCACAATATTTGGAAACAAAATGACTTTTTTTCAGAGACAGAATCTTGCCCTGTCACCTAGGCTGGAGTGCAGTGGTGTAATCATTGCTTATTGCAGCCTCGATCTCCCAGGCTCAAGCCATCTTCCAGCATCAGTCTCTCAAGTAGCAGGAACTACATGCATGCACCACCACACTCAACTAATTTAAAAATTTTTTGTAGAGATAGAGTTTTGCTATGTTGTCCAGGCTGGTCTCAAACTCCTGGCCTCAAGCACTCCTCCCACCTCAGCCTCCCAGAGCACTAGGCTTAGAGGCATGAGCCATCACGGCCAGCCCAAAATAACGTTTCTAAAACAAAAGCTTAGCTAGCACCTTGAAAACTCCTGTATTATAACATTAATACAGAGAATTGGGGTCTTGCCATTTGAATTGGGACATGATTTTGAAGTAGAAAAGACTTATTTGCTGACCTGTGAAGAAGTTTCATAATTACACATTAACCAGGAAATATGAACAGTCTCAAAGAATAAAAATTTGTCCCCTTTTTAGTCTTAAATCTAGAGAATAAGGAACATTACAACAATAGTAATAAAGAGAGCAATTACTCAAACCTTTTTTAACACAAAAGGAAACATTTCTGATGGCTATTTTCTTCTTTCTTGCTGAAAAGCAACTTTTCTTTGTTTCACAATATTCCTGGTGTAAATAGCTTGCAGTTATGACTGGTTTCTGGAAAATATGACAAAGCATGATTTTCCTGTTACATTTCAGATATTTTACTAATTAATGTTTTATTTTCCATTTCCTACTCTATAAACCTAACCAAATTTGATGCCAAGCTGAAGAGCTTTAACCTCTTTTTTCAAATAAAGTACCCAAATGTATGTCCATAAATAAGGGCTACTTAATCAACTACTAATGAAATTAATTCCTAATAAAATACATTCCCTTTGCATTATGCTAGCATCTATCCTTGCCCTTTCCACTAATTTCATTCCCAGTTTATTCCATATTGATTTCCATGCATTGTAAATTCATTTGCTCTTGTTCATATGCTATTCAGTTATTAATATTACAAGTATAGGATAATACAAAATGAAATTGTGACTTGAAAGATGTCGGATTTTGTTAAAATTAATTTTAAAATATCAGAGAACTTGTTGAATTAATCTGATGAATGAGGAGCTGGAATATTAAGGCCCACAGAAAACTGAAGAAGAAAAAAATAAAAGAATGAAGACAGGGTAGTTACTTTTAAAGAGAATAATTTGAATATTAGCTATAAACAGACATATTAAAAAAACAAAAGCAACTTTTCAAAATAAAAACCAACATTCTATAGGACAAACTAATTATCTGAGAATTTCATTAAGGGTCTAATCACTGTTGTCCACCTCCTCCAAGTTTGGAGTAGTGAGTGCATTTGCTGCTTTGACTCTTTCAGCTTGAACATTTTCATCTTCTTCTTAGGGCTCTTCTGGATTGGGATGAATTTCTCTACTTCATGGAGAGATTCTACAGAGGAAATAAAATACATAAAAATGCAATTCTGGCTGTACAACAACTATCAAGAAAATGTAAACCCCTATAATTAAATTGTTATCCTTTTTTAAAGACTATTAAATGATTAATTTATTAACTACAAGATTCTTCTTGGTAGTAATAATACCTCCAGTAGCCAAGACCCTTGAAATCTTCTTTGACTATATCTTCTCTTTAAAACATTTATCCTGTCGACTGGCTCTCTCGCTTCTTTTAAATCTCTTAAATGTAGACATATGGGTATTTTAGTCTGTCACATCCAGATCATGACCACTTTCCTCATAAAAGATCATCCTAATTGGTTTTATATTGAACCAGCTTTTACTGTGCCTTCTACTTAGGGACCCATAATGGCCAAAACCAGAAGAAAAGCAAGCTTTGACGCTTAACCACTACTTACAAAGATGTACAGGACAAAACTTATCTTACCTAAAATTGGAACCTATGACTTAGAAACTAAATATCCCTGCATCCAATCTAATTCTGTTTTCTTTTTCCAAAAACAGCACTATGCAACATGCTTAGTCAAGTGCTGGGTAGTAAATCCATTTTAATAAACTGATGTTAAATATACTGCCATAAAGATTAAATATTTAAAACCACAGCAGGAGGATTACTTGAGGCCAGGTGTTTGAGACCAACCTGAGCAATATAGCAAGATCTTGTCTCTATTTTCAAAAATAAAAATAAATAAAATGAAAATATAAATCTTAAAAGACTAAATATTTAAATTACATTCAGATCTCAATTAATGTTCTCCCAACCTGAAAACTGGGTCTTTACTCATTATTTCATTTCCATGCTTCATTTCCAGACACCTTATGATAAGAAGGACACAGTAGGTAACATTGCTTACCTGAATCAATAATGTGACATATCCAAGCAAAGTGAAGGAAGGCATTAAAATTATGCACAAAATTAAATTGTGTTTTTCATATTGAGTTGATACCAGAATTGTGGATACACATATTAATATCTAGAAGAAAAAAATCCAGAGATATTATAATTTTCTTAGTTATATTTGATATCTTCAGGTATTTCCTATGAATAAGCTGTTTTCCTGGGAGATACTGTCATATTCAATTTTGGCCTCACAGATAGAAATATTCTTAGGATGTCCTCTTTAGTAAGTATCAAACTCCACTGTAACTAAAACACAGAATTACAATAAGGTCTGACATAAATATCTTAACGATTTTGCATTACCCAGTAGGTATAAATGGCAATAATAAAAGAAGGTGATATAACATTATTCACTTAATTTATTATAACTAATCTTAATATGTTTTCAGTACAAAGATACAGTGAAGAATTAACTGATGATATGACTTGGGAATTTAAAAGACAAGATAAACTTTGAGGTTGGTGTTTATTGCCATATCTAAGCAGTCAGAGAAAGGTCAGAATTATTAGTCTTGAGATCCAAGGTAGGAATATTGAACAGTTTAGAACATTCCCAGAGGTAAATAATATGAATGTTACTTTAAAGGGCAGCCCATATCACCACTCAGACTGTTAGTAGTTTCCTAAAATGGCTCTCTGGCTCCAGTTCTTCCATCATTCAAAATTCACATGACATTCTAAAGGGTGTATACAGTTGGCCCTTGAACAGCATGAGTTTGAACAGCATGGATGCAATTATAGGTGCATTTTTTCCATAAATATATTAGGAATTTGGGGAAGATTTGTGACAATTTGAAAACCTCACGGATGAACCCCATAGTCTACATGTACTGAAAAAATTAAAGAAAAGTTAGGTATATCATGAATGCATAAAATATATGTAGATATTAGTCTATTTTGTCACCACTGTAAATTATAAGCAAATCTGTTATAAAAAATTAAACTGTATCAAAACATGAACAGAAACACTTACATACCATACATGTTGCCATTAGCAATCAAAAAAAATGTAAACATAAGGATGCAGATTTAAATCATGACTGCATAAAATTAACTGTAGAACATGCTGTACCCCTGTAATAATTTTGTAGTCAACTCCTGTTGCTACTGTGAGGAGCTCAAGTTTGCAAATACTCCCTTAAAATGCTGTGTGAGGTTCCTTACTCTCAAGCAAATGGCATATCTCAGAAAAAAATGACCTCTCATGGTTCTTACAGATTTTCATTGTGTTTAGTGCAATACTGTAAACTTTGAATAATACCATAGGACCTATAGGAATTTCCACTAGTGATTCTGGAAGTTCTCCCAAGAAGCAGAGAAAAGTCATGACATTACAAGAAAAAAGCTGAATTGCTTGATATGCACCATAGATTGATACATACATATGTACTATAAATTGCAGTTGCCTGCCATTTCAAAGTAAATAAATCCAGTGTAAGGACTACTGTAAAAGAAGAAAAGGATATTTATGCATCTGTCACTGTAGCCATACAAGGAGGCACAAAAACCTTGCACTTTTTGTGAAATACCTTTTTATCTCATATTGAAGATCCAACTTTTATACCTATAAGCTTTAATACAATTTGATAAAAAGTGAAGTCATTATATAACAACTTAAAGGAAATGTGAAAGATCAAAAGCTGGAGAATGTAATGCCCTCAAAGGATGCTTTGATAATTTTAGAAAGACATTTGGCTTAAAATATGTCAAGATAAGAGAGAAAGCAGCTTCAGCCAATCAAGATGCAGTAGACAAGCTCCCCGATACTATTAATAAAATCATTGAAGAGAAAACATATTTACCTGAACATATTTTTAATACAGATGTAAGTGCCCTATTCTGAGGGGAAAATGCCACAAAGGACATTGATTAGTAGGAAAGAGAATTAAGTACCAGGATTTAAGATAGAAAAGGACAGGCTATTTGTGCAAATGCAGTTGGATTGATGATCAGTACTGCCACTATCTATAAAGCTGCTAACATTCAAGCCTTGAAGGGAAAAGATAAACACCAACTGCCAGTCTTTTGGTTATACAACAAGAAGGCCTCGACAATGAGAGCCCTTTTTCTGGATTGGTTCCATCGATGCTTTGTCCCTAAAGTCAGCAAGTATTTTTAAAGTTCCTTTTAAACTGCCTTTTAAAGTTCTTTTGCTATTTGACAGCACCCTTGGTATCCCAGAACCAAATGAGTTCAACACCGACAACAACAAAGTGGTCTGCTTGCTCCCAAACACAGCATCATCCAACCTCTAGATCAGGGGTCAAAAGAACTTTTAAGGCTCATTACACACAATACTCTATGGAAAGGATTGTCAACATTATAGAAGAGAACCCTGATAGAGAGAACATCATGAAAGTCTGGAAGGATTCTACCATCGGAGATGCCATCATTGTTACAGAAAGAGCTTTGAACATCAAGCCTGAAACAATAAATTGCTGCTGAGGAAAACTGTATCCAGATGTTGTGCATGACTTCACAGGATTTACAATAGAACTAATCAAGGAAATAAAAAATAGATTGTAGATATGGCAAATAGGGTGGGGTGTGAAGGGTTTCAAGATATGGATCTTAGAGAAATTCAAGAACTAATAGACACCACACCAGAGAAATTAACAGAAGACAATTTTATGGAAAGGAGGGTTTCCATTGCCAGAGGATGAGAAAGAAGATGTAGAAGAAGCAGTGCCAGAAAACGAATTGACATTAAACAATTTGAAAGAAGGATTCTGATTATTCAAGACTGCTTTTGACTTATTTTATGACATGGAATCTTCTATGATACAGGCATTGAAACCAAAGCAAACAGTAGAAAAAGGATTGGTACTATGTAAAGACATTTTTGGAGAAATAAAAAAGCAAAAAGTAAGACAGAAATTGTATTTCTATAAAGTTATACTAAGTTGTCTGCCTGTCTATTCTGCCTCCCCTTCCACCTCTTCCACCTCTTTCACCTCTGACACCCCTAAGACAGCAAAACCAACTCCTCCTCTGCCTTCTCTTCCTCCTCTCTTCATTTTTGACAGCAAGAATGAAAACCAAGAATGATGATCCACCTCTACTTTTAAGAATGAAAGAAAGTAAATATATCTTTCTTATGACTTTCTTAATAACATTTTCTTTTCTCTAGCTTACTTTATTGTGAGAATACAATGTATAACGCATATACAAAATATGTGTTAAGGAACTAAGTTATCAGTAAGATTTCAGTCAACAATAGGCTATGAGAAGTTAAGTTTTAGAGAGTCAAAAGTTACACACGAATTTTCAATTACATGGGTTAAGGGGGATTGGTGCCTCTTATTCTGACATTATTCAAGGGTCAAATATATGTTGATTTGAACAGGAATTATTCTCTTTTATATTTCATTGAATGTAAGCTCCCTAATTGCAGAAATTTGCTTTGTTCATGGTTATATTTCAAGCAAAGTATCTGGCACACAGGAAAATACAATCAATATGAATGAATGAATAAATATTGGGAAGGGCAAAGAATAAGGAAGATTTCCATTGTTCTGTTTTTATTCACCAAATAATCAAAAAGGATACATATTAAGAGTCCAGTTTATACAAAACACTTTGTTAAATAGTATTGTAATTACTGTAGTTACAGGAATAAAAATGGAGGAAGAAAAGGAAGATGATACGGTTTGGCTCTGTGTCCCCAACCAAATCTCATCTTGTAGTTCCCATAATTCCCATGTGTTATGGGAGGGACCCAGTGGGAGATGACTGAATAAAGTTTGTGGCAGAAGGAAGAATAAATACAGAATCCAGAAACAGGAACAGGAAGTGTTTGATTACTCCTTACAATGCATTGTTGTTGCTATCATTGCTTCCCAGAAGGAATGGTTAATGGAAGACTTTTTCCTTTTTTTTTTTTTTTTNAATAAAGATGAAAGATGTAAGATAGTCAGAGATACAGTCTTCACTTGCATTGTTAGATTTAGAAAATGTAACTTAATTTTTATACAACACTGTAGATATATTGCTATATAATTTGTTAAAGCAATACCGTTAATAATTACAAAGACTATGACCACTAAATCTTTGAGGAGATTCTGAAATATACACAATGTGTATAAAATAAGCTGATGAAACCCTGAGTTTATTTCAGTTTATGTTGTTTATTCCTTCAGAAAAATTTCTTGTACACATGGAAGAAACACTATTTGTATGCCTTTTTGATATGTATCATATTTATATACCCACTTGTCCATATCATTATCTCACTGCTTTGCAGTGCTACCTTTGTTATTGATTAAGACTATTTCTGGCCTTTCTGGTTTCTTCTATTAATCTGTTTTTCTGTTTATACATCAATACCACACTGTCTCAGTTATGGTACGTTTATTTGAGACAGCAAATCTTCCCACCTTCTTCTTTTTTAAGTGTCTTGGCTATTTTTGATTCTTTGTACTTTTATGCACTTTTTAGAATCTGCTTGTCAAATTCCATAAGAAGTGACATTAATTGGGATTGTATTGAATCTATAAATTACTTTGAGGGAGAAATGATATCTTTACTTAGTGAATCTTCCAGTTCACAGACACTGTCTGCTTCTTTATTTTAGGCTTTTAGAAACATCTGTTTTGTATATATAAGCTCACAGTATCCAACACATTATATATTGACTTGATGTATGACAGTTGACTCATACAATATCTCCTTAGAAAAGTACAGTGATTAAGAATTTTGTGTATATTTCAGAATCTCCTCAAAGATTTAGTGGCCATAGTCTTTGTAATTATTAAAGGTATTGCTTCAATAAAATATATAGCAATGTATCTTCAGTATTGTATAAAAACTGTTAGATTTTCTAAATCTAACAATGCAAGTGAAGAACGTACCTTTGAACATCTTGCTTCTTTCATCTTCATTCCATTTCTTTTTGTCATCTTACTATAGTAATTACCCCATCTGTATTGTCTTACTCATCAAAACCAAAAAAAAAAAAAGCTGGGCGTGGTGGTGTGTGCCTGTAATCCCAGCAGGAGAATCACTTGAACCTAGGAGGTGGAGGTTGTGGTGAGATGAGATGGCACCATTGCACTGGAGCCTGGGCAACAAGAGCAAAACTCAAAAAAAAAAAAAAAAGAAGAAGTCTTCCATCAACCACTCCTTCTGCGAAGCAATGACAGCAACAACAATGCATTGTAAGGAGTAATCAAACACTTCCTGTTTCAGCTTCTGCATTCTATATTTATTCTTCCATCTGCTACCAACTTTATTCTACATTCACTGCTTTATAAAACTGCAGTCTCAAAAGTCAGTTGTAGACATCTGTATGTAGTGAAAAGGCATAACAAATACCCCAAAGGGTCTTACCCATACTGTACAATTAAATTTGGGGAAATTAAAACAAGAGCCCCTTAAATATACTGCTAGTTTCAAGGGAAAAAAAAAGTAAGGAAATTCTTCAAGGACAAAAAGCCTGAAACCCAACTTGGACCATTAAGTAAACACAAAATCTGCTTGGGCTGAGGACAAATCTCTATATCAGCCCATGGATTAGGAAGACATGATTTGGGTTCTCTTTAAAGTCCTTCCCTGCAAAGACTTTGGAGAGACTAAAATGAAACTCTTTTGATGGGAGTTCCTTGCAAATTCCATATTGAGGCATGATACTCTAAGTTGGCTTATACAATCTTAGATGGATTTTATACTGCACTTCTCACAAAAATAATTGAAAATTTTTTGAGGATGAAAACATCCCTAATATAGAGTCTTAGGAGTTCCACACTTTAAAGTCAACCAAATATGAGCTCCTCTTCCCAACAAGAACAAAAAAATACATCAAACATGCAAGGCAATAAGCACTAGATGACTTTTGATACTAGAATTATCAAATAACAAATAGAGATATTATTTCCAATGAAATGTTTAAATAAATCAAATATGAAATATAGAACAATAGCAAGCAACAAAAGATTGTGAGAAATAAGCATATTTTAAATAGAAACAAAAAGAGATTTGGAAAACAAAACTGAAATTTTATGTAGTCAATGAGTAAAGATAATTGAATTTAAAACAAGTGAATTGGAAGAAACGTCTAAAGCTTTCCCCAGAAGGTAGCAAGGACAAGGACATGGAAAATTTGAATGAAATGCTAACAGATGTACAGAATAGTGTGAAAATCTCAGAGGCAATATTTGAAGTGGTATTGGCTGAGAATTTTCTTAATCTGACGACAGAAATAAATTTGAATGTTCAGAAATGAATGTTTCTAGGTTTGGATGTCTATTTATCTTTATTTTTGCACAATTTGTACAAAATAAAGATAAATAGAAATCCACACCTAGAAACATTCTAATGAAGTAAAAAAAAAAAAAAATTAAAGTTAAAGGTTAGTCAATGAGAGAGCCTCTACAAAGGATGGTAACTGACTGATAGCAGACATCTGAACAGTAAAAATGTAAGCAATAAGAGAGTGAATTTTCAAAGTGACAAGAGAAAATAATTGTCAACCTAGAAATGCAAATGCAGCTAAATTATATTTTAAGAATGGGGGTGAAAATGATTTTTTTAAAACTAAGAGTTTATAGCTAACTGACCTGCTTAAAAGAATATATAAATGATGCATTTTGGGAAACAAACAAAAAAAGATGACAGGTCTCAAAATGGAGGGAAAAAAGACTAAAATCCAAGTATGAATAGTGAACAAATAGATTGATTTAAACTGTACACAAATCTTTTTTAAGTTCTTAAAATGTTAATAAAGATGCTTATTTGAGGGATTAAAAAAGAAAACCAAAACACTAGACAATAGCATGTAAGTAGGGTAAGAAATTATTAATAATAAAATCCCCAAAATATGGCGTTGGAAGTAATTAGGATATTTATTTACTTTAGGCTTTGTTAAGTTTAGTATTTTAAAAAATTTTCAGGGGTGTTATGGGCTGAATTTTGCCTCCCCAAAACATGTATGTTTAAATCTTAACCCCCAGTAGCTCAGAACATGACTATATTTAGAAATAGTTTCTAAATGGGTAATTAAGTTTAAAGGATGCCAGTGAGGGAGTCCCTAACCGAACATGACTGTTGTCCTTATAAGAAGGGGAGATTGGGACACAGACACACCCCAAAGCAAAGACCATGAGAACGCACTAGAAGATGATGACCCTCTATAAGCCCATAGGAGAGGTCTCAGAAGAAATTAACCCAGCCAATAGCTTGACCTTGGACTTTTGGTCTCTAGAATTGTGAGAAAATAATTCTGTTCCTTAAGCCACACAGTCTGTAGTACTTTATTATAGCAGCGCTAGCAAACTAATACAAAGTAATAAAATATAGCTTATGACTTTCAAACCAGAAAAGAGAAAAATGTGGAATAAAAACAAATTTAAACAAACAAGAAAGGCAAGAAAGAAGGGAAATCACACAGGGCCATCACATACATAAAGCAAAAAGTAAAACAGTGTAACTTCATGTATATTAAAAATCACAATAAACTCATTACATTAAAAGCAGGTTGTCAGACTGAATTACAAAACAACAAATAAAATCCAACCGTATTTGTTTTGAAAGAGACAGACATTAAAGCATAAGAACAATGAAAGTTTAAAAGTAAACAAACATGGCAAAAAAAGATTTATCAAGCAAATACTGAACAAAAGAAATCTGGTATATTTATATTAATATGAAACCCATTTGACTTTATGGCCAAAAACCATAAGAATAAATAGGGTTGGTGTATAATCATTCTAGACTTCAATGCACCCAACAAAATAGTCTCAAAATATACAAAGCAAAATTGGATTAAATTAAAAAGTGAAACTGACAAGCCTACCTTTATAATGGGATTACAAGAGAAAGATAAAGATCAATGACTAACACCAATGGTTAAGAAGACATTACCCTTGGCTATAACATTTGACCACTGTTGTACAACCAGTGATAAAACTGGCCCGAGGAATTATGTGATTAGCTGTCACAGGGATGGGATTTGGAGGTTTGGGAGCAATTTAGTAGCCTTTAGGATTTCTGCTGACATACTGAATTCTCCAACTGGTTATATTTGTGTATTCCTGTTCATACTAAATCCAACTTTTAGTTACAACTCACAAAGGCTAACCAATGTAACTGTAACAGCTCCAGTGAAGTATAACTTTGATCCCTTTACCCTAATCCCTCCACACTGTCCACAGAAAGAGAAAGGGAAATCCAGAAGAAAAAAGAAAAGTCAAAGTATAGATCTTGCTTCCTTTCTCACAGCTGATCCCCAAACTAAGGGCATACCTGAGATGAGCCTGAGGAGAGTTTTATATTGCTTATGAAAGTTATGATTTGGACTTGACCAATATTTTAGGTTTTTAGTTCTTTCAGTGAACCTTATTTAACAAAATTGGGCTGTTTTAATATGTGAAATCAGCTAGTAATAGGGAAGGAGGTGCAATAGCATATGCCTGAAGTAATTAGTAAATTATTTATTAAGAAAACAGTTTCTTACTTATTTATGTTATTAGTCTATATAGCCACCTATTATGCTCATTGTTCGTTTGTTTTTCAAGAATAATTATTTAAAAGGAAAACCTCACTGAGTTCAGTGGCCTGGGTTTAAGTCTGATTCTTTTCAGTTTTTCCCACTCCGTAAAATGAAGAAACTGTCTCAAGTGATCTAATCTTTTAGCTGTGACATGCCATGGTTTCTACAGGTATTTTGCTTCTTTCCAAAGAAACAGAGTTCTAAAAGAGAAACCTCATAGAACAAATGGGAAATAAAGGAAATAAAATGAACAAAACATTCTGAAACCATAAACATGGTACAACAATAATGAAAGTACAAAAGAAAAACACAAAAAACCCTCCATTCTCTTCTAAGCAATGTATTTATACTTAAATTTACATTTTAAAAAACTTTAAGAAAATTTAATATAAATGTGTATGCATGTATATATACTTACAATAAACAACCCAAAAGACCAAAAGCCATTACTTTTTTTCCACTTCCGAAAGATGAATGAAAATATGTATGTGAGGAATATCAGAGAGGCTGCACAACCAATTATGCATACCACCTGCAAAGAATAAGGATCAACAGAAAGATTAGAAATGGCAGGTCATAGTGGGAAAGAGGAGAGAGAATGCAGTCATAAAGCTGCTTAAGGTAATTTTCTTATTTTCTTGCATACTACATGCCTTTTGCTAATGACAAAACGTTCATGAAAATAAACACATATTAATATTCAAATGCCAGTCAAGGACCAACAGAAGCTAACAGAAGTGTCTGGACTAGCATAGAGGAAGAGGAATAACTGACAAAAGAAAAACTCACGTGAATTTTATAGAATAGTAGCATTAAATGGCAGACTAAAAGAAGTGTAAAAAAGAGGGATGCATCTAAAAAGACAATTTTGTAGCTTAGGACATTGAAACAGTCACAATACTACTGATAGAAAGGGGGAACCTTACATCTACTTTATGAAGTAGAAAAAGCAAGTATTAAAATCACAAAATTTTAAAAATAGGACTATTACAGATTATCTGCTTGCAGTTTCCATCTTGCAGAAGAGAAAGCTGTGTCATAACGGTAATAAACCGTGCACAGCCTGACTAGTTATCCAGTCTACCCACTCATTTATCCATTCAACAAGCATTTATAGAGTTTCTGCTCTGTGCAATGCATCATCCTTTGTGCTAGAAATAAGTTAAATATAATTATTACCCTCAAGAAGTCCATATTTGAAAAATAATGACAAACTCAGTCTGAACTCAGTTCCACTGAAAAATAAATTAGGAGGGTATTTAAGCACTAAAGCATCTGCTGAAAAGTACTCCTGGAGGACGTTAGAAAGAGGTTGATTTCTTTTTAAAAAGGCAAGACAACATCAATTCTATAATAAAAGTAAACAATTAAGGCTAAATAAAGGCACAATTAACTCTGGCAGTATTGGGAAACAGCTGAAATTATATTAGATCTGACTCTTGAGAAATTACTAGGACTAAGTTTTGATTATATTTTCCTTATTTTTGCTCTGAACTGGTAGTACATTGCTATTATCTTCTAAAAAGGCACTGTATTGTTTTACATTAGATAGTTTCTATACTTACAATTAAATCACCCTATCTCATTTGCAGAAAAGTAGAGTTTGCATTATACAGTATTAATTTCTTATTGTGTAATTTTTCAATAAAACCTCATTCTCTAAAACCACTATGCATATTCTTGCTAACATCTACATCATTTCTATAATTTTTCCCTTTTTATCTATCATAATCAAACACACCAGTTAGAAATTATTTGATGGTTTAGAAAGGATAACTAAATTGTGTCTTATCAAAAATTGCACTTCACAAATATAAATACACCAAACCCAAAAAGGCACTGCAGAATTTAAAATTACAAAGAACAATAGAAGTATTAAATAATCATAATTTAGGGATTGGACCTTTTTTTTTTTTTTTGAGACAGTGTTTTGCTCTTGCTGCCCAAGCTGGAGTGCAATGGCGCCATCTCGGCTCACTGCAACCTCCACCTCCTGGGTTCAAGCGATTCTCCTGCCTCAGCCTCCCAAGTAGCTAGGATTACAGGTGCCCACCACTGTATCTGGCTAATTTTTGTAGTTTTAGTAGAGACGAGGTTTCACCATGTTAGCCAGGCTGGTCTCGAACTCCTGACCTCATGATATGCCAGTCTTGGCCTCCCAAAGTGCTAGGATTACAGGCTTGAGCCCTCTTTCCTGGCTGGATTGGACTATATTTTATCATAATCCCTTTATGGTGGAGATATACATACATAAGTATATATGCACACATACACACTTTTTTGCATTTGCATTAATCCGTGCATATGTCTTATATTCATCTAATTCTCCAGGGAAATCTGACAATCTGACATAAAATTAAGGATTTAGGTTAGAGGTATCTCTGGTATTCTTCATTTCCAAGCAAATCCATTCATTGATTTCAGTAAATATGCACTGAGTACCCAGTAAGTTGTATATGGTAAACCAAAGTCAAAATTATGAGTTTTCAACAGTCCTGTTATTTTTTTTTTTCTCTATTATTTTACATTTTGCAGTGTCCTTTTGGATTTGACTCTTCTAATATTCTGTGTTGGGCTGCAATTTTTGATCACACAAGATTTTAAACTAGAGGGGTGAGGCCAGCCATAAAACATAACTCTATAGTATACCAAGTGGTAATAAACACAATAGATAAATAGATCAGGATAAGGGGTAGGAAGTGATAGGTTACATGCAACTTACTAAAGAATTATATATTTAAATTTTTCCATAAAACTTTTGAACTTTAAAAATTTAATTAGACTAAACATAAAAGTACTTGAAAGATTCTTGATCTTCTAGAATAAGTAATAGCAAACATGTATTTTTTTTTTTTTTAATTGCATTTTAGGCTTTGGGGTACATGTGAAGAACATGCAAGATTGTTGCATAGGTACACACATGGCAGTGTGATTTGCTGCCTTCCTCCAGCAAACATGTATTTGAATGCTTCCTCTTTACAAGAATGTAATCTCCATGTGGGTGAGACTTTTGTTTTCTCTGCTCATGCTGTATTCTCGACACCTAGAAGTACTAGAAAATAGCACACTCAGAAAGTAGTTATTGAATTAATTTAAATATATATTTATACATAAATACATATATGCCATGCTGTGTTCTAGGTACTCAGTAAATTCATTTAATTTTCATAATAATTATATAAAGTAGATATTATTACACTCCCTGTCTTGCAGATGAAGACACAAAGGCAAGGGGTAGCTAAGAAATTTGCTATCGGGCCGGGCTCGGTGGCTCAAGCCTGTAATCCCAGCACTTTGGGAGGCCGAGGCGGGTGGATCACAAGGTCAAGAGATCAAGACCATCCTGGTCAACATGGTGAAACTCCGTCTCTACTAAAAATACAAAACATTAGCTGGGCATGGTGGCGTGTGCCTGTAATCCCAGCTACTCAGGAGGCTGAGGGAGAAGAATTGCCTGAACCCAGGAGGCGGAGGTTGCGGTGAGCCGAGATCGTGCCATTGCACTCCAGCCTGGGTAACAAAAGCGAAACTCTGTCTCAAAAAAAAAAAAAAAAGAAATTTGCTATTAAGTGGAAGAAGCAGGATTTGAACTCAGGTGGTAGGCTCTAGAGCCCTCATCCTTTGTTACTCTGCTGTGTTGCCTCTTACATAAGTCAATACTCTACTTACACAAGAAAATGAGCTGCTCTCCATTTGAAGAGCTCCGTGAAGTAAAAAATTCCAATAAGGCATTGCTAACAATACCCATAAGAACAGGAAAACAATTAAATTTCTTAGTATTACATGCAACTTAAAACCTGTAATCCTTAAAAAAAAAACGTACACAAATATAAGTTCTAAGTTCTTGGAGTAAATACATTTATTGGATATTTTTTATATTACCAGAGTGGAGTTCGGATGAGAAGGAGAATATTAATTTTTCTTTGACACTTCTGCCTTCTTTGAATTGGTATAAGAATGCATTATTTTTGTAATTCAAGTGACTTGTTTTGTAGATGAAATGGATTAACATTCACTCACATGGAAAGATGACATTTTATGTGACAAAGATAGTTTCAAGCCTCCTCTAATATTATGACAAGTTAGAAAATATGAGTTTCCTATAGTTCAAAATATTAAGATGTGGCAAAAACAAAACAAAACAAAAAACAAAAACAAACAAACAAACAAAAACCACTCATGATAAAATGGTACACGGAAGCAAACATACCTTCTGGTCGCCAGACATTATGATGGCTCCATTGTAGGAGGGATCGTCTGAGCCATTTCTGTTTCTAAAGTCATCTATTTCCAAAACTATGTCCTGATGCTTCAGTGAATGCAGGAGGTCTTCAATATTTGATCCTGATATAGTCAATGAAAGGAAGGCAACAAGAAAAAAAAAGCATTACATCAAAGTCAAAGCTTTAAAATAATAATGATTTCTAGTCATGTTAAGAAAACCCCAGAATAGCTCAGTAAAGAGCCTTGCTCTTCAGGAGTATGATACCATTCATTCTGAGGCTAGGACATTAAGTTCCATTTACCATCTTTAATGTAACGGACTCCTTTATTCCTTTCAGAAATATATTCATTTATCTTATAATTTTCACCAGATGAAAAGAGTTTATGAAAATAAGATTACAATTCTCACAGAAAGAAAATTTGCTAGTAGTGAATTTATAAACTTTATCAGAACCACGTAATATTTGTAATTATGAATAATACACACAAAATATACCTCATGACCCAGGCTTGTTCTAGTGATCCTATCAACCTGAAATGGCTCTATCTCACTAACCTTGCAATGATATTTAAAGTACTAGTAACTCATTCAAAATATCTTTATGAAATTAAGTTAACTTGACATTTGCCATTGTGCCCATTATTTTTCTTGACTTGAAAATTAACCCAGCAGAAATGGAAAGGAAGTCACATTGGTCAGAGGGAGAAGTCAAGCTATAATGCAGCCTCTACAGTCTGAATCAACCACCCCCCACCAAGGGAGCTCTGAATTTAAAATGATCCATCAGGGAGAGAATCCACAGACCCTTTGAAAGAGGTGGCTTGCAGCTGCAGGCTCCATTGAGAAGTTGAAAAACTGTGAGTGCCCTAAGTGCGAAAGGGGGAATGTCCACCCCCAAACACACATCCTCATAGGGGAGCCTGAAGGTCCAGATCGCAGGAGAAGGATATTACCTTACCTGGAGCTAAGATACGTTTAGAAAGCCAAGCAAAATATAGGCGTAGAGGAAGCAATGGGAAGAACCCTGTGAGCACTCTCAGTCCCCAAGGAAACCATTTTTGACTTTGTCTCACAGGTTGGGGAGGGCTGCCAGTGGAACTGGGGAAAGACCACAGGGAGAAAGAAACTTTCAGCTGAACTTTATAACAATTTCAACCAAATGCAAAGTTTCCTGGACAGAATCTTGGGGAGGGGATGATCAGGGAGTGCAGCTAAGAGCAGAGAAGCCATGGCAGGTAGAGAGGTACAAAACCGGGAAGTTCTGCTTGCTTTTTCAAAGGGACTCTTACAGCATGTAGAGAGTTCTCAGTCCTGCTCACCAGCTGCCTGGAAACAGACTCAGTGCTGCTGTGGGGGTATGATGGGAGTGAGACCACCTTTCCGGCTATATGGGAACTAAGTGAGGCCAGTCACTGCCAGCTTTCCCCCACTTCCCTGGCGACTGGTATTGTTGTACAGGACCGAGCACAGAAAGTCAACACCAAGACAAAAGTATGCCAAATTACAGGGTCTTTATGCCAAATTACAGGGTCTTTATTGCCGGTGGCCACAGAGGACTCGCGTCTCTCCAACCCGTGGCCCCCAAAGGAGGGTGTCAAGACCCCTTTATACCCGTAAAAATCACCTTGGGCATGAGGGAGAGGGGCAGGGGGTGGTGGTGAGGGGGTTCCAGACATTCCAGTGGATTCCTGGGCGAAGATGGGGTGAGGGGCTCTGGACGTTGTTACTTAAGTGATTCACAAAAGTCAAGATTAGCATTTGTTTACACATTGTCTGGGTAAGGTGGCGATTATAGTCCTTAATTGCTCATTCACATTTGGGTTATAGAGAGCAGTTTAAACACAAAGCCAAGGTATGGTTGAGGTATGCAGTTTTATGGGGCTTTTTACCATGTCACAGTATGACGCAGCAGAAGCTGCCATAATCTCCCTGGGAACATAACTCCAAAGGTCATGCCCCACAGCAGCTGCAGTAAGCCTCCCCCAGTACAGTCTAAGCTCAGACATACCTAACCCTGCCCTCACCTGATGGTCTTTCTTTACCCACCCAGGTAGCCAAAGACAAAGGATATAATCTCTTGGAAGCTCTATGGTCCCACCCACCACCTGAGAAAACTGAATACTTATCCAGGCTACCCTAGGGCAAGCTTGTATCCTTCCTTCCTATACTACCATAGCTGATGCTCTCTTGAAAGTGCCATCTCCAGGATGGAGGTTGACCAACACCGTTCCAGCACACTAAACAAAACTACAACCAAGGACCCTCACAGAGTCCACTTCATTCCCCTGCTACCTCCACCAGAACAGGTGCTTGTACCCATAGCTGTGAGACCTGAAGACAGATGAAAAAATAATAGATGTTGACATGGATGTGGTGAAAAGGGAACACTTTTACACTGTTGGTGGGAATGTAAACTAGTAAAACCACTGGAAAACAGTGTGGAGATTTCTTAAAGAACTAAAAGTAAGTCTACCATTTGATCCAGCAATCTCGCTGCTGGGTATCTATGCAGAGGAAAAGAAGTCATTATATTAAAAAGATACTTGCGCACACATGTTTATAGCAGCACAATTACAACTGCAAAAATACGGAACGAGCCCAAGTGCCCATCAATCAATGAGTGGGTTTAAAAAATGTGGGTTTAAAACACACACACCATGGAATACTACTAATCCATAAAAGGAAACGAAATAATGGCATTTGCAGCAACCTAGATGGAGTTGGAGACCATTATTCTAAGTGATGTAGTTCAGGAATGGAAAACTAAACATTATATGTTATCACTTGTAAGTGGGAGCCAAGCTAGGAAGATGCAAAGGAATAAGAATGATCCAATGGACTTTGCGGACTCAGGGGAAAGGGTGAAACGGGGTTGAGGGATAGAAGACTATACATTGAGTATAGTGTACACTGCTCAGGTGATGAGTGCACCAAAATTTCAGAAATCACCATTAAAGAACTTATGCTTGTAACCAAACACCACCTGTTTCCCTCAAACCTACTGAAATAAAGATAATACAAAATAAAAAATATTTGAAAATAAAATTAACCCATCAGTTTCCTTCATTTGAAAATGGAGCAAGATGGAGAGATACGATTTATGTTTTCAATTGTCTCTCAGGTATGTGCTTCCTAAAGATCTTTGATAATAAAAAAATTTGACACTAATTTTAGCCCTGTTTCTCACCTGTATTATTAATGATTAATAGGCTTGTAAGAGGAGTCTTCGGGATTTGTTCCAGAGAAAGGAAATGCATACTGGGTGAAAACCACCAACAATGAGTTTCACGAGTTACTTTATATATTATCTTCTCCAGAATGATGGAGATAAAAGCTACTCCAAGTACTAGTAACCTAAGAAAAACAAAATTATAATATGAGCCTGAAGCAATTTTCCTCTGATTATTTAAGTCACAAAGATGCTATATAAGTGCTAACTATGAAAATTCCACATGCATTTGTGGTGTTTAGTTAGATCAAATGAAACATACAGTGACAGTAATCTGAAAATTGGATCAAAAATGGTACATAATTTGTATCACATTGGAAGATATTCAAGGGTACCAGCATCAAGAGAAAAGATGGAATCCAGGGCAATCCTCTGTAGGTATGGTTTACCAGGACAACATGGGAAATAATTTTATGAGATAATGGAGGCCTCAAATTGCCTGCTTGGGTACTTCTGATGAGAAAGAAGCCCTATTTTACACTGCAAACTCAAGCTTGCTATGTGCACAATTGCAAGTAAAACTTTAACATTCTTCAATTGTTAGTTTACAAATATTTTAATTTTAATGAAACTAAATGCAATACTTAAAATACTATTTTTATATCCTAGAACTCATTCAACCAACTCAAATTGCAAATGAAATGCTTCCAAGCATTCTTTGTTTCTCTAATAAGCATGAGTCTACTTTGCAATGATCACTTTCCCATCAGACTTCAGACTCTACCTCCTTCTTCTTATCAGCCTTATATTTCATAGAAAAAAAAGGGTGTCTATAGGACAGAAACTCCTTCATCTTAACACCACCAAAAAAAAAAAAAAAAAAAAAAAACATATCCACAGATTCAGGTCATCCTCTCATTCTTTTATTCTGTTGAAGCAGATAATAGATCTTTGCTCCTAACAAAAAGATCAGTCCTTGTCAATATTGAGCTTAATCCAAACTCTCCCCACTCCGTGTATCTCTCATTCATTATAAAATCACTTTCCTTCCAACTTCACATTGCCTTTTAGCTTCTGCTCTTTCTACTCCCCTCCATAGTCAAGTGTTGTAAAAGAGTTTTCTACTGTCAGACCTTCTCTTGATAAAACCTTTAATAACTTCCCTTTTGCCAAAGGATGCTTTTGTTTCTCAATCATTAGCCCTCCATATTTTCTAATCTTGTCTCAAATGTAACAATTTCAATGAAACCAACACCAACAAACCTATTTAGAATTGCAATGTACCTCCAACTCCGTCATCCCTCCCTATCCCCTTTTCTACCCTATTTTTTATAACCTGTCATGTAAGTTATTTAGTTCTATATTCAGTTTTTTTCCTCTTTTCGCCCAACCAGATGTAAACATCATGAAAGCTAGGATCTGTTCCTTTTGTGTTCACTAATATAACCAAAGCTCCTAGAACAATGCCTAGTATATAGCAGGCTTCAATAAAGATTTGTGATATAAATGAAAAAGTTTAAAAGACTTACCAATTTTGTTCACAACAGTAGTAAAACTGTGCCCCATAGAGTTAAAGAAACCAATGACTAGCAGAAATTATTGAGGTTGCAGGGTGTCAGACTGAAAGAAGAAAAAAAAAAGAAACAATTTGTTAAAACACTGAAACTCCCTCAGCTTGTAAAATAATAAAACTGGCTGAAATTAGCTAGAACCAATATGGCCAATTACAGTGTGCCCAGAATCATCTTGCTGACTTCACAGCCTGAATCGTCACTATGTATTTCATACCAACTGAGCTTGAATTTGCACAAGGGACACATGAGGAAGCATGAAGAGATATCTGTGCATGCCTGAGGACTTTCCAGACCTCTCCTTTTCTTCTACCATGCTAATCCCAGAATCCACCTCCTAAATCTTTTCTAATAAAATTGCTGCCTTAAAGCCAGCACAGGGTGACAGATTTGAGCTGGTCTCCTGTCTCCTTGTGAGTCAATTTGCAATAAAAACCTCTTATTTTTCTCAAAAATCCAGTGTCATAGTATTGGCTTCTAGCACATTAGGCAGTGAGGTCCTTTACCTCAGTAGCAGCAGGATAGGTAAAGATACTAAAAAACTGTTAAATGAATGAATAACTTAATATATGTATTTTCTTAATATTTGAACTTTTTTATATATTGACTAAATAGATATAAAGTAATATGATACTCACAAACACAAAAGAGCTCTCCTTTCACACCTTAACTTTAAGAAGCGAAGTATTGCTACTGCATAGATTTGTTGTCTCCAGAGAGCTGCATCACTGACAGCCTTTCTCATTTCAGGAAGAGAACAGAGAACCTGTTCCATTTCAGACTCATTTCTAGTATTTCTTGTCACATATATTTTCTCTTGTTTCCCAATGTCAAAATCTACAATCATGCAATAAAACATTTTAATAGACTATGTTATCTGCACTTTCTCTTTAGAAACTTTGAAAATGATGTTAAACTACTTGAAACAGCACTACTAACAAGTAAAGCTACTGACATCCATAATCAAAATTTACATTAAAAATACATATGTATTTGTGTGTATATATATCTACATATATAAAACTATCATGATTGTGCTACGTGTATTTTATATATATATATATAACATAATAGGCTGTAAGACACATGAAACATTGCTTCTGAATAACTGGAAAATTAATAAAGTATTTAGTAAACAGTTGCTTTCTATGCAGTAAATGGTTTCTTTTAACGTCAGCAACTTCTATTTGCAGAGCTTATTTGTGAATATTTGATGCTTTCTAAAATGTTCCCATGTGATATTCTGCCATTCTATCAATTAGATTTGGAATATAACTACAGAATTTTAGGGCAAATTGTTTTGCTAAAAGTAATCAATGGCTTATTGAGGACAAAAAGATAATTTTTTTCTTTATAAATATTGGCTTAAAAATGTTGTATTGAGAAGTACACATTTTTTTAAATTAGCATGCTTAAAACCAAGAGATAACCAACAAAGGAAATGTTAATGAGGAAGACATTTTAGGCCATTTATTGCAAAACAATTTCTACCAAAAGTTAAGTTGCCTATCTTATATTTCTAAAAGCTTCTATAAAATGTCACTCTCATATTAACACACTCATTTAAAAATAACTGCATCTAGAACACATACCTTAAATGATATCCAATATCCCACTTTTGCTTCAGAAACAAAGATGATCTGGTACATTTCAACTTCCTGTTAGACAGAAATACTTTCCTATCTGAATTGAAAGAAAGATTCAAAAAATTATGTGAAGAGTAATTCCTTACATAGTATATTCCTCCTTTGGATACCAAACACTGAATGACACTTGTAATATAAATGCAACTGTAATATCATTAAGCCCCTGGGTGCAGTATCATTTCTAATCCCCATGCCTATTGTGAAACAGGCTTCAGAAATTCACTGCATTCCCCATAACTAATCCAGTGCCACAAAAACTTTCCAGCGACGGCCCAATTCTTCACCTCTTCCTTTGTCCACATACTTTGCTATGTAACTTTGCAGGGTTACGCCCCATATGACTTGCTGTAGCCAATGGCATGTGGAGGCTTGAAATGGGCTTCTGCATTTGGATTTGGTCTCTTGAGGCTGAGTCACTGCCACAAGAATACTACTGGGCTAGCCTGCTTGAGAATGAATTACACCTTGAATTTTGAGTCACCTTAGTCAATGGCTACTTGACCCCCTAACAAATGGGTGGATCCAGTCAAGACCTGAAAATTTAGGCTGTGAACCCATGCTAAATTGCCAACTCTCCAACTCATGCACTAAACAAATACTTACTGTTTTAAGGCACTGACTCTGAGGAAGCTTCATTACACAGCATTATTGAAACAAGAAATAACTGATACAAGAAGTAAAACTTATCTTACCGCAGATTCATGAAGGAATTGAGGATAGTGTTACATTTTGCACCATTTTATACACAACAAAATATTCTATTTTCACTGAGTCCTTTTCTGGCTTTATTTTTTTCAGACTGTCCATTAGCATACTCTCCTGGCTCACTGAAACTAGTCTTCCCACTTGCCTTTATTTCCTAGGCAAAACTATGTTGTTCTATGTCTAATTTTCCAATCTTGCATCTTCACACTCAACACCTCACTCAGTAAACAAAGATCTTCCTAAATTGGCAACAAAGGAATGTAAATTCAAAAATAATTTTCCCAGCTAAAGATTTTTCTATGTATGAAGGGTAATATTGGTGTTTAAGAATGTTTTAAATATACTTGTTACTAATGTAAACAGTCAGGAAAGTTAAAGACAAGAAGAAGATACATAAAGCATGAGTCTAAGAAGTAATTGGGAGATCAGAATTCCTCTGAGGCAAAGTGCATTTTTAGAATACAGTCATTCAAATGAACTGCAAACAAGATTTTCTTCTTTTGAAAACAGGCTATGAAAAATAACTCTCACATTAAATCCTTAAATAACTAGTTGGAATAAAGAAGCCAAGAATCACCAGCCAAGATGTCAGCCTCATCCATGAATTGGGTACTGAAGACGATAACTCGGTCTACTTTATGCTCCTTCAGGAGGCTCCACACTCGGTGCCTTGAAAAGAGATCCAATACAGAAATTGGTTCGTCCAGCAGCAAAACCTACAGTGGAGGAAACATATGAAAGCATCTTCCTCTTCACAGTAGGGATCTTCAGAAAGCACCACGAAAACCAGTAAGATTTCTAGACTCCAATACAGTCCTCCACCAGATCCCTAACAGGCTTGCATGGTACTTTATTATAAATTTTCCCTCACATTTTGTAATTACAGTAGAAGTTGGACTTTAATAATAGTAGTATAACCTTGAATCTAAATTAATTGTAAAAATATATTGTTTCTCTCACCTGAGGATCTCCTAAGATGGCAATCTCTAATGTTAGTTTTCTCTTCTGCCCACCACTTAATTTTTTTAGTGATAATGTCTTGAATGCTTTGCAGGTCTAATTCCTTTATAATTTTTTTACCTATCCAAAAAAATACCAAATATTTAATTTTAAGCAATTTTTACTCTCTAAAAATAAAAAGAAATTATTCTAGACTTCATTAAGTTTTATGTATCAAAGAGTAAAGTAATAGCTGAACAAAAATATAGTCAAAAGTAAATTATTTCCAAAGCTATCAATTTCAACATGTTTCTCTACCTGTTGTTCCACTTCCTTTGGCTGAATTCCTTTTATTTTAGCAAATACCCTGAGGTTTTCTCTCATAGTGAGAATGTCAAATTGAAAATTAAACTGTGGACAAAATCCAGTGTTCTTTCTAATTTCTTCCATGTCAGTTATTTCAGAGAGCTGGGTATTATAAATAGTGGCTGATCCTATAAATAGAAATTTAAAAGGCTTTAATGCCAGAATGTTAATTCTATGCAGAGTGATAATATATGTTAGTGTTTAGATTTTGTTCAAAAAACTTGTTTTGATTAAAGAAACTTCACATTTCCAATTGCTTAATTAATATATTGAGTAATTCAGATTACTCTTAACATAAATATCTGTATCCACAGCAATGCAAAGTATACATGGAATGTCAAATAATGGTGGAATAGAGATACAGATATTTTCATAAATTTATGTACATATGAAATAAGTCCAATTTAGAGAAACTTTTTTACATAATCAAATCAATTTACAACTTGCTTTTTCAGCCAACTTACTTTGTAAAATTATTTTCTTACCTTCTGTAGAAACAGACAATCCATTAAGAATGTTTAGCAGTGTTGATTTACCAGTTCCTTTATGCCCAAGTATTGCAGTGATCTGTCCTTTGTATATGTCAAAAAATATGCCTATTTTATAATAAAATGTGGAAATTAGATTTTGGATTATATGCAGATGGAATGGACCTTAAAGCTGCAAAAGTAAAATGCATCTCAGTATTTCATTTCATTGGTATTTTAATAAATTCCCTGTAATATTATACATTTAACTGTGTAAGTTATGTATTTATGAAGACGAAGCTTCAATTTGTCTGGAGAAATTGGATTAAGACTAGCAGTATAAATTTCTACCTTCTTGCTTCTCTCAAATCCTTTGAATGTCAAAGAATCTATACAATTAATATGAAATAATAAAGCAAATACCTACTAGGAATAAAAACAAAACATAGTTTATTTGCTTTCCAGACAAAGGAAAGAAGTGTAGCTTAAGAACATGTCTCCCTGAGGCTTGCAGAGCTAGGGACAGAGGGCCAGGTGTAGAGACAAAGGTCGGGAGAATTTATTTCACATTCAGAGGGAGGTAGAATTAGTAAGGAAACATTGGTAAAGTTTCTCCTGGTACTGGTCATCATTCTATTTTATATCACAAAAGTGTGGGCATGATATTTAGAGATATCTGTTGGGATCTAAGACATGCCACAGGCATTTTCACATGTATGTGCCTAAGACTTGACAATTTTTTCTTTAATGTTTGAAAAATTAACTCCATTAGAAAACAAGAATTCAGTTAGCATGCCAGAAATTTTAAGAGATTTTCTGAAGACAGAAAACAAGGAATTAGACTGTCAGAGAATCAAAAATCAGGCAAATCATAGCTCAAAATAGATGATGAAGAATTCTATGACAATAAAACCAGTTTCCTTGATACTTCAACCTTAGTTTGAGAAAGTCAGGTCAAAGATTATAAACTTATATAAGGAATATATTCCTATTTCTGAAAAATTATTTTATATATACATCTAAATATAGAAAAAGATAATATATTGGTGATTATCCCTCAGAGTATAAACATATTTTTAATTTTTATGTTTTCTCCATATTTATTCTCTAATGTTGCACAATAACTATTTGTATTTTCAGATCACAAAAATGTTTTTTAGTTTAAAACAAAGCTGTGTTTTAGTCTAAAACATCATCAAAACAATGAAGTTTTTATTTGTACCTTGCAATGCTTCTACTTTTCCAGGCTTTCTATTATATTCTTTTTTAACATTTCTGATTCTGAAAGAAGATAAAGTAATTTTGAGGTAAATGCATTTTCTAATATTAGTAACAGATTATAGTTCATAACTAAGCCTGAACTTCACAGTAAAGGGTGTCACTCTCAATGGGATCTAAGGATCCCCTCGCCACTCCCAAAAGAGATTTACACAGACCTGCTAATACTGTTATCAAGCTTGGCATTTCATATATTCCAGCTGTTTCTCTAAGTTATCAAATGAATAAGAGAAAGCTAAAATTGATTCAAAAAAAAAAAAAGAGGAAAGAATGTAGGGACAGAAAAAAAAAGGGAGAGAGGCTTTCCCTCAATCCTGAATCACTCTCAGTCATTATCTCCCACAGGCAAATTTGTCAAAACAATAATCTTTACTCCCTATTTCCATTTCTTTATCCCACATTTATTTCCCAACCTAAGGCAATACAGTGTCTCCCCACACCACTCTACAAAAACTATTCACAATGAAATTCACCAATGACCATTCTAGTTACCAAATCTAATCCAAACACTTTTTGGTCCTTATTTGGTATGCCTCATCACTGTTTTAAACTATTGCTCATTCTTTTCTTTTCATAAGCCTCTACTTCCCTGGCTTCCACCCTTTGGCTTTCACGTCTTCCTCTTAACATTCTGTTTTGGCATACTTATGGACTCCTTCAGTTGGATTCTATAATTGACCAATGATTTTTATATTCTCAAATCTTTTCCATACAATCTTACCCACTCTCATGGCTTCAACTCCTACCTAAATTCTAATGATTCCCAAATTTGTGTCTTTAGATATTTCTTCAAAGTTTCAGATACATATTCTGCTTTTTACTATATATCTGCACTTGGATGTCAAAATGTATGTATTATATTTTCCTCTAAACTGGCCCACTTCCATTCTCTATCTCAGTTAGCATTTCTACTATCTACCCAGGAACTCAAGGTAAGAGCCTGAGAGACATCCTTAACCCTCTCTCTCCCTTTCTCACCCCATCCTGTGACCTAAAAAATTATTACAATTTAACTTCAAGAATTTATGAATTTAACTTTTTAAATCTATTTGAATTTATCTTTTTACCACTTTTCTATTACCTTCTTGCCCAGACTCTTGTCATCTTTCACCTCAACCAGGGATATGACCTCTGTGCTAGATTGTTATCCCTTTTCTATCAGCAACAGTCTCTTTTCCTCTGCAATGCAGAGGACATACCAGGGACTAGATTTCCCAGAACCCTCTTTTCAGTATCAGATTTTGCTAATGAGAAGAACTTGGGCAAGATTTGGAGAGCAGAAATCAAGCAAGGTCATTATTCTTGGGTCACGTGAGCCAAGCATATCCACAGGCTCAAGGTATGCAGCAGCTTCTGCCTCTTAGACTTCTTGACAAGCATGGCTTTGCTACTGCAGATTAAGATAACTGGTGGAAGAGTTCCCAGAAAATCCCTAATATTTGCAGCAGTATACTGACAAATTTCTTGAAAAACACCCATTTCTGTGCATCAGGCTAAGGTCCTCACTGGCTATTTCCCTGACTTTCTAGCTATAACTTAACCTTCTCTCCTCTAACTCTTGTACATCTGTGAATACCTAATCCCTGTATTAAACCCCTTTACTCCCACAATGTTTCCAATAACTCATTTTTCCTGACCAGATCGAGACTGATACAACATTCTAAGTATTTCAATTTCTCCAGTTGTGTCCCCCTCAAATCCTAGATGATCTTCCTTTAGGGAGTATAGGGACTGAAATTTTGAAGTCAAAAGCTCTCTTCATAAAACTAACAGGAAAGCCACCAACAGAGTGAAAAGAAAATATTTGTAAATGATACGTCTGATAAGAGGTTAATATACAAAATAGCAAACTCAATAGCAAGAAAAAATAACCCAATTTGAAAATGAGCAAAGGACCTGAATAAACATTTCTGAAAAGAAGACAAACAAATGGCCAACAAGAATGTGAAAAAGTACATAACATCACTAATCATCAGGGAAATGCAAATTAAAACCACAATGTGATAGCACCTCACATGTGTTAGGAGGGATGCTATCAAAAAGATGAAAGGTAAAAAGTGTTTGACAAGGATGTGGGGAAAAGGGAAGCCTTGCCACTGTTGGTGAAAATGTAAATTAGTACAACCATTATGAAAAACATGATGGAGGTTCCCCAAAGAGTTAAAAATAGAACTACCATATGATTGAGCAATTACACTTCTGGCATACGCCCTAAGGAAATGAAACCATTACATTGAAGAGCCGTCTGCACTCCCATGTTCATTGCAGCATTATTCACAATAGTCAAGATATGAAAACAACAAACTCAGTGTCCATCAATGGAGAATGGATAAACAAATTGTGGTGTATATATATATAATAGAATACTATTTAGCTTGTAAAAGAAAGGAAATTCTGTCATTTGTGACAACATTCACGAATCTGAAGATCATTAGCTTAGGTAAAATAAGCCAGATACAGAAATATAAATACCACATGACCTCACTTATATAGAGAATCTAAAAAGTGGAACAAACTGAAGTAAAGAATAGAATCTTGGCTACCAGGACCTGGCAGAGGGTAGGGAGAGGGCAGCAGTTGGAAAGGTTGGGAAGATGTTTGTTAGTCATAGGATACAAAATTTTAGTTAGATAGGAGGAATAAATTCAAGAGACCTGTTGTACAACATGGTGACTATAGTTAATAACAATGTATTTTGAAAATTGCTAAGAGAGTAGATTTTAAGTGTTCTCACCACAAAAAATAAGTATATGAGGTAACAAATATGTTAATTAGCTAGATTTAGCTAAGTTCACAATGTATACTCTTTCAAAACATTATGTACACATGATAAATATGCCAAGTTTTTGGCAATTAAATTAATTATTTTTAAAATTTTTTTGTGGTCAATCAAGTATAAAAACAGTAAATTATTAATTAAATTTTATAACAATGTATTAAGAAAAAAAGTGTGTTTACTACAGAAAACCAAAACTTTAGTAAAGAGGAAATATGTAATATGGCACAGAATTGTAAAACAGAAAAACATTAACTTTGGAGAATTTACAGCTTATTTTTTCCTCTACCTAATACAAAGAATTCTAATTTTGTCTGCTAGGTTTCTGGGCTTTAGGGGCTAAAGAAAATTAATTTGAGGTAAAGAGTTAATATCCGGGATCCAGGTGGCTGAATAGGAACAGCTATTGATTGCAGTTTGCAGGAAGAACAACGCAGAGGGTAAGTGTACACTGCATTTCCAAATGAGTTATTACTGCCCACAGACCAGGATATTCCTGGGCTGAAAAACACCACGAGTTTCCAACATAGCTGTTTCAGCTGGTGCAGCAGATCTCCACACAAAAAATCACACAAATCTGGGTGGCTGTTTCAACTGGCGCCTGGAATGCCTGGGAGACAGAGCTACCCATTCAACTGAAAAAATAGGGGCTGAAACAGGGAGCCAGATGACCTGGCTAGGCGGGTCCCACCCCAGCAAAGACCAGCAATCTGAAAAGCTCTGGATTGAGAGTTTTGCAGCAAGCGCAGCTGGACCCAGGATGGTCCAGCTTTGTTAGGGGAAGGGCATCCGTCATTAACGAGACAATCCTCCACTACTGAGGCAATCCACCATTACCGAGGCAGTCCACAGTTACCGAGGCAGTCTGCCATTACAGAGGCAGTCTGCCATTAATGAGGCAGAACACCATTACCGAGGCAGTTCTAACTATACCTCTATAAACAAAACCACAAGGAAGTTCACACAGCAGCTGGGCAGAGCCCACGACAGCTCAACAGCGCCTCTGCTGGCAGACTGTGACTAAGGCTGCCTCCTTGCTGGGCAGGGCATCTCTGAAAAAAAGGCAGCAGCACATCAGGAACTTATAAATAAAGCTCCACCTTCCCAGGACAGAGCACCTGGGAAAAAAGGCAGTACAAGTTCTGCTGCAGCAGACTTAAACGTACCTGCCAAGCAGCTCTGAACAGAACGATGGAGCTCACAGATCAACACTTGATCTCCTATAAGGGACAGACTGTCTCTTCAAGCAGTTCCCTGAACCCCATATATCTAAAGAGTCACCTCACAAAGGAGAGCTCAGGCTGACATCTGGTGGGTATCCTTCTGGGACAAAGATACAGAAGAAGAAACTAGCAGCAACCCTTATTATTCTGCACCTGCCATAGATGATCCCCAGGCAAGCAGGGTCTGGAGTGGACCTCCAGCAGTCCTACAGCAGAGGGACCTGGCTGTTAGAAGGAAAAATAAAAAACAGAAAGAAATAGCTTCATTATCAACAAAAAGGAAGTCCATTCAGAGATCTCATCCGAAAGTCACCAACTACGAAGACACAGGTAGATAAATCCACAAAGATGGGAAGAAATCAGCACAAAAAGGATGAAAACGCCAAAAACCAGAACACCTCTCTTCCTCCAAGGGATCGCAACTTATCACCAGCAAAGGAACAAAGCTGGGTGGAGAATGAGTCTGATGAATTGACAGAAACAGGCTTCAGAAGGTGGGTAATAACAAACTTCTCAGAGCTAAAAGAACATGTTCTAACCCAATGCAAAGAAACTAAGAACTTGAAAAAAGATTTGACAAAATGCTAACAAGAATAAACAGCTTAGAGAAGAATATAAATTACTTATTGGAACTGAAAAACACAACACGAGAACTTCAAGAAGCATACACAAGTTTGAATAGCCGAACTGACCAAGCAGAAGAAAGGATAACAGAGATTGAAGATCAACTCAATGAAATAAAAGGAGAAGGCAAGCTTAGAGAAAAATGAGTGAAAAGAAATGAACAAAACCTCCAAGAAATATGGGATTATGTGAAAATACCTAATCTATGTTTGATAAGTGTACCTGAATGTGATGGAGAGAATGAATCCAAGCTGGAAAACATTCTTCAGGATATTATCCAGGAGAACTTCCCCAACCTAGCAAGGCAGGCCACCATTCAAGTACAGGAAATACAGAAAACACCACAAAGATATTCCTCAAGAAGTGCAACCATAAGGCACATAATCATCAGATTCACCAGGGTTGAAATGAAGGAAAAAATGGTAAGGACAGCCAGAGAGAAAGGTCAGGTTACCCACAAAGGGAAGCCCATCAGACTCACAGCGGATCTCTCAGCAGAAACCCTGTAAGCCAGAAGGCAGTGGGGGCCAATATTCAACATCCTTAAAGGAAAGAACTGTCAACCTAGAATTTCATACCCAGCCTAACTAAGTTTCATAAATGAAGGAGAAATAAAATCCTTTATAAACAAGCAATTGCTGAGAGATTTTATCACCACATCTATAACTGTCTGATCTTTGGCAAACCTGACAAAAACAAGCAATGTGGAAAGGATTCCCTATTTAATAAATGGTGTTGGGATAATTGGCTAGCCATGTGAAGAAAAGAGAAACTGGACCCCTTCCTAACACCTTACACTAAGATTAACTCCAGATGGATTAAAGACTTAAACATAAGACCTAACACCATAAAAACCCTAGAAAAAAACCTAGGCAAAACCATTCAGGACATAGGCATAGGCAAGGACTTCATGACTAAAACACCAAAAGCATTGGCAACAAAAGCCAAAACAGATAAATGGGATCTAATCTAATTAAACTCCAGAGCTTCTGTACAGCAAAAGAAACCATCACTAGAGCGAACCGGCAACCAACAGAATGGGAAAAAATTTTCGCAATCTACCCATCTGACAAAGGGCTGATATCCAGAATCTACAAAGAACTAAAACAGATTTATAAGAAAAAAACAAACAACCCCATTCAAAAGTAGGCAAAGGATCTGAACAGACACTTTTCAAAAGAAGACATATATGAGGCCAACAAACATATGAAAAAATGCTCATCATCACTGGTTATTAGAGAAATGCAAATCAAAACCACATTAAGATACCATCTCACGCCAGTTAGAATGATGATCATTAAAAATCTGGAGACAACAGATGCTGGAGAGGATGTGGAGAAATAGAAACACTCTTACACAGCTGGTGGGAATGTAAATTCAACCATTGTGGAAGACAGTGTGGCAATTACTCAAAGATCTAGAAATAGAAATTCCATTTGACCCAGCAATCCCATTACTGGTTATATACCCAAAGAACTGTAAGTCATTCTACCATAAAGACACATGCACACATATGTTCATTGCAGCCCTGTTTACAATATAAAAGACCTGGAACCAACACAAACACCCATCAATGATAGACTGGACAAAGAAAATGTGTCACATATACACCATGGAATACTACACAGCCATGAAAAACGATGAGTTCATGTCCTTTGTAGGGACTTGGATGAATCTGGAAACCATCATTCTCAGCAAACTGACACAAGAACAGAAAATCAAACACCGCATGTTTTCACTCATAGGCGGTTGTTGAACAATGAGAACACATGGACTCAGGGAGAGGAGCATCACACACTAGGGGTTGTTGGGGGGTGGGTAGGGGAGGGACAATGGGGGGTGGGAAGGGTGGCAAGGGATAACATGGGGAAAAATGTCAGATATAGTATGCACCTATGCAACAAACCTGCATGACCTGCACATGTGCCCCAGAACCTAAAGTAAAATAAAAATTTTTTTTTTAAAAAAGAAGGAAAAGAATGGGTGTAGGGGGTTGTAGGTCTGTAGTTTTTTCAGGATTTATGTTATAAGTTGGAAGATATTCCTATTGGACAGCTTTTATTTTCTCTGAGGATGAGAGGCAAAGTATCATCTCCTAAGATTGTATGGCTAAGATAGGGGATGAGGCAGATATTAGAAAAGAGAGAAAAATACAGATTTAAAATATAGCTTTAAAGTTAGGCACTTACCTCTGTAATTGCAGCATTAATTGCAGCTTGAAAAGCTACAAACCCTTTTAGCCAGTACATTGCCAAGTAACAAAAATTTTCACCATTCATGGCCCAACAGTGTTCTTTAAGGAAGAAGAAAAACATGTCCGTAGTTACATAATGGAGTCAATTGCTGGAATTAAAACTTTAACTTTGGCTCAAAAATAAAAATATCTAAATGTCAGCTCAAAGTCTATTATTATATGATATAGAGGATTTTTAAAGTACTCTACAAAATTGGAGAAAAAAAGAACATATGATGCCAGGCACGGTGGCTCACGCTTGTAATCCCAGCAGTTTGAGAGGCCAAGGCAGGCAGATCATTTGAGGTCAGGGGTTTGAGACCAGCCTGACCAATATAGTGAAACTCCATCTCTACTAAAACTACAAAAAACAATTAGTCTAGTGTGGCGGTGCATGCCTGTCGTCCCAGCTACTCAGGAGGCTGAGGCAGGATTATCACTTGAACTTGGGAGATGGAGTTTCCAGTGAGCAAAGATGGCACCACTGCACTCCAGCCTGGGCAACAGAGGGAGACTGTCTCAAAAAAAAAAAAGAACATATGAATAGTTGCCAAAATAATGAGACTCATCCTAAGGTAAAAACTGATGATTAAGTTCGGGAGAAATGGGGATTCCATGAAGCAACAAAAAAATATTATAATCAGTTTTTGTATCGTTACCTGTGTATTCAGAGTGTTCCTTTAAAATTGGGATTCTATATCCCCAATTAAACTTCAGCTGATAGGAAGAAGTATCACTAAATACAACTGCCACCATTTCATGGTACTTCTTTGGAAGTACTATATCCATGGTCTCTTCGTCTGGTGTCCCAATGACTGTTCTTCCTACCACGTATGAAAAATATAAATATATAATCATGTAAAGTTATTACTAGAGGACATAAAAAACAAAATTCAATTGCTTGTTTTATATAAAATTAGAGTGCTATTATATATTATTCCTGGATAGTTGCCTCTTAGTAAAAAGCTAAGTGAAAGTATGTTGTTTCAAGTTCAATGTAAATACATGAAAAGACACAAATGATATATTGTCTTTTAAAAAGTTGCAGCATATTGTTTTTAGTGTGATCTCATTTTGGTAAAGAAAAACTGAATTTGTGTGCCTATGTAAGCACAGAAACATATTCTATGTATGGCCATGTGCATGTTTGCTTTAAAAGACATACACAATTTGAATGAGGAGGAGAGGAGAGGAAGTAATGCCAAAGATGAAAGGAAAAGCTCTCATATTTTGCTTCATACAAGTTTGTACTATTTAAGATTTTTTTAGAGTAGAGATTACTTTGGTGACTAAAATAATTTAAGAATTAAAAGGAAAAATATTTAAATTAAGCAATATAAATACTGAGAATTTGGTGTTTTCTCTTTTTCTGCCAAGATTATAAACTGATGCCTATCACATGAAAATAGTATACTAGTAGAAGTAGATTATATACAAACAATCAAACTACAAAAATCAAAAGTATAGTCTACCTACAGATTCTCTGAGGTCAAGAACACTCTCTAAGAATAAAGTACATAGCAATCTGTGGATAATGAATGAGTTTACAATCTGCAGAAGTAATCCACCCAATAAGTGTTTAATAGATCTATTACTATTAGAAGCTTTGAAAACCACAGAAGTCCAATTAGTGCCTCCTTTTTTTACATGTTTATGTATTATGTTCTAAATGTTTATTAATTTTAAATCTCACTCAGGGTGAAGTCTACATTAAGATGAAAAAGTTGTTTATTTTATCCTATAGTCACACCTTTCAAAACTCCTCATCCTTCCAAATATAGAGTCAGGCTGTGAAACTTTTATGAGGACAATGCTAACATCACTGATTTTCTCTAGAGGTATAAAAAATACTGTCAAGGCCAACCCATGAATATTTATTCTAAAAAGCAGGAGTTAAATAAATGTAGAATAAGATGGTGAGAAAGGAGCTGTGGTTGGAGCAGGCCAGTATGGTAGCTGGAATTAGATACCTTATATAAGAAAGGGACAGATTCCAATGGTCCATGAGACTAAGACAGAAAGTGGCCAGTAGCTTACACTGCGCATACAGGAAGAATAGTCCCTGAGGCTTCAGTAAATGCTTCATGAGCTAAGAAGAGATGAGGTAAATGAGTACACAAAGGAAGTAGGTAGAGACAGATTAGGGCAGGATCAACACTGTGGTCAGGCAGGACATGTAAACAATGCAAGTAAGGGAGGCCGATCAAAGTCAAAACTCCAGAAACTACAATGAAGAATTAGAAAACAGAGTAAAGCAGCCAGGGATAACAATGCCCATTCCAAAACTTGGATAGGTTAGGCACAGAATATTAGTAACTTGCATAAAATAATTATAAAATTTAGAGCTTTGAGGTGTCCCTTGGCATGGCAATCCAGACACCAAAAAACCAAATAAAAGTTTCAGAAAGACAAGAAAAAGCAGTGATTAGAACTGATGTTAACAGCTTGGGTAAAATGTACAAAAGGATGAAAGAAATGGCCAGGGTTTAGAACCCTGACAGAATGGGGGCTAACAACAAGAGAAATTTGATGGTTAGGCTAAGATTACTGAAGAAAAGAAAATTTTATCCTGATACCTGCCTATGCAGGAGCAAAGGCCTCTATGGAGCAGGCTAGAGACCATAGCTGACAGTCAATAGTTACTCCTAATGTCAGCAGAGATATAAAGGATGGTAGGCAAAGGTCTCACACAATAAATATGACTCTCGGGTATTTGTATTTCTTTATAAGATGCATATATCAAGTTAATGCGGCAGCCTACATAAGAGATCTCTATATTCTGAGTCCAGATACGCAGAGTAAGTCCTAGGGGAAAAACAAACAAATAAACAAACAAAAAACACCTCACTACTCTATGATCAAGGGCCCTGAATTTGTTGACTTTCAGTAGCCAATACCTGGTTTGACTTTAAATAGATATTACATGCCCTGAGCTTTACATTTTAACTATTTTTATACACCAAACAGTAATGCTTTCTCAATGTCAATATTAAGCTTGAGTTTGAATTTCAAACATCTTTGATTTATAGTTCCTATATACTAGGAACTATATAGTATATATAGTTCCTAGAACTATATAGCAAATATAGTTCCTATATACTAGGAATTATATTTATTTCAATCTAAATTGAAAATAAGTGAATTCTTAAAATTTTTTGAAACTCTTTTAAACTATAGAATGCCAACTCAAATAGAAAATTTGTTAAGTTTGGGAAAAGAGAAATTTGTATCATCTAAAATAGGCCCAATCTTTTCTTTTTTTCCTACTGCAACAATATGTTCTAGTAGAAAGGGCACAGGGTATGTGTGTCATAACAAAAATTTAAAAAGTAAATCTATTTTGTCTCTTACCCACCTGCCCCTAGCCTTATACCAATCCCTGTAGTGCATATATAATGAGAGTGTTTGCCTCAGTTGAGAATCACTGACCCATAGACTAAGTAAGTAAATTCAACCTGCAAAGAGAATTTGAAATTAAGTCACATAATACTGAAACATTGGTTATTGGACAACACACGTTTCATAAAGGAAGCCAAGGCCATCTTATTCATTAACCTTCATTCTATGTTACTGACTGGTGTATATGCCATCAGTAGGCCAGAGTCATTAAATTGATCCACACTTCCCAAGACTTTAAAGAGGTTGTTCAGGAAAATGGATAGCTCTGAATGGTTCTGAAAAGATGCACAAATATAGCCCTAGAAGCAATGCTATTGTCCATTCCTCCAGCACACAAAAGAAAAATGAGCCATGTTATAATGTGGTCCAGACCAGTGAAAAACATCCAAAGACATATTTAAGGCAGAATGTATTGCCATTGAGCATGGCTTCATTTCAGTCTGTAATTTTTTTCTGTTGCAATTAATATCTATCCTTTAAAGAAAGAAAACACTCTTTCAAAAATATATGACTTTGAGAAAATATCAACAATTGCAATCAATCTTAAGCCAGTGATTTAGCATTCCTAATAGTGGGACTGCCATTGATTTTATATTTATATTTGAAGCATTATAAGTATATGGCATCACATAGAAGACATTCTTGCCAAAAATATTTAACCAGAATTTGATCCTGCTTTTAGATCCAACTCACTGCTTACAAAAAATGTAGATGACAGAGTGATGACTTAAATGACAGCATGAAGAGGCAATCAGATAAAAAGAGAACATGGAATATTCAACAGGATAACTAATTTTGTCTCTTTGGTTCCTGAAAAAACCAACCTTAAAGACATTAATCAACCTTAAAGGATATTTTGGGGGAAATTTAGAAAATTGAATTTGGCCATGGAACTACATGATATGCAATTATTTTTAATTTTGTGCAATGGGATAGTGGTGATGTAGGAAACCAGGTTCTTAATATTTTGAGATACTAGCTAAGATATTTAGCCATTACATATATTTGGGGGAAGAAGAGGAGACAGAGATGAAACAAAGATGGCAAGATATTAACAGCTGTGAAAACTGGATTGTGGATGTATAGGTGTTCATTGTTCAAATATTTCCACATTTCTGGATTGATAATACATTTTTTAAAATTCTAGTGACTGATAAATATAGATATATTCTTCTTCAATATACAAACCAAAATATTTGATTGAACTGCTTCAAAAGCTATTGCAGAGATTTAAAAGCATGATATGAATCCTGTTAGCTCCCACTGAAATGGTATTGGCTATTGCTGAAAAGACTGCAATCTCTACATGGTTAAGGCAGCTCCAGTTATATCTCATAGTAACAATATCTTAATAGTCATATAAGCATACAAGAAACTCAACAGAATGCAAAAGTATTGACAAGCTGTGATCTTGTTCCATGAAACCACTTTATGTTTACAAAGAGCACAGCTTTGAAGAGATTCTAAAAAAGTTTGCAAATTTTTACTCATAGATATTTCACCAGCCTTGCCAAATAACATGCTATTAACTGAAATGTCCCCAAATAGTATCAGGGTTGACCCATTAAAAAGTCTATTTTATTTTGCCTAGCTTATCTTTCCCCTGGCTATCCCTGCCCCCAACAATGAAGTTAGCTAAGGGTAAATCAGAATGACTCTGAGATTTGAATGCATTAATTATGTAGAAAATGGCTGGTGCTATTCTGCAAAAGATTATTTTTTAGGAACTGTCAGATGAGCTCTTTAGTTAATTTCACCTTGACATAAATATTATCCTATTTTGCAAAATATATCATTCTGCAGTATTTAGAATCTCAAATTGACTAGCCAGTATAATAATTAAAAATCAGAATTTATAAACAAGCAATAAAAATGGCATAATACTACATAATGGATTTTCATTTATTAGCTATGAAAAAACTATATATATTGTGAATCATACCAATAAGCTCTCTCTTTTTGTTCTCCATTTTCTAAGAAAATTCTTGTACAGAAGAGTCTGAATTTGTTGACACACACTTATTTCTTTTTTAATCATTTTGTCGTATTCACTGACAGGGTAAAGTAAATATTGTAGAGCAATAACTAGGGGAAGAAGATAAAAAAAGAAAGTTCAGTTACAAAAAGACTTTGCATGTTTTAAATGCATACTTTTAAGATGCACCAACTAAATGCCTTATATGACATTGTAGTAATATATTCAATCAGGATTTTAAAAAAGAATACAAAGTATTAATAATTGTAAAATGTCCTCTCAGCTGGTATTTCTCTCCAGACTTTTATGGCTATGAGGGAGATAAAGGTGATGGTATATGAGTTCTTTTCCTTTTGTCTCAGAAGTTACTTTTTTTCTGTGAAATCTTAACATTACAACCACTAAAAGTATATCCCTCAGTAAGATCTTAGTAATGTTTAGAATCCAAAAAACACTTCCTCTTTACTTGTTAAGAAATAAAAGTTTAACAGGAAGAAACCACTTTGCAGTTCCTTGTCAGTCCGCGATTTCACCACAAGCAGTCTTATTTTGAATTGCACATTTGGGTACATTTATTTGATATCTTGTTAACCACTGGGTAAAGCAAAGTCAAAAACATTATAGTCATTCTTAGAATTCCAAAAAGCTAATTTCTCTTTTTTAAATTTCCATTTCTGAAGTAAATGTGTAAGATACACACAGATTAAAACCAAAAACATAAGCTAATATGACTAATTGATTTATAATAATCCTTATTCTTTGTTTTCAGTTTGAAATTCCAGAGATGATCATTTGGTATCACAACTATGATTACTGAAGTCCATTTAAACAAATGTTGATGTTATATACAAATTACAATGTTCAGAGAACTTGCTATACTTTCTTTTTCTCATAAAATAAAAGGCAAAGCCAGCTAAACTCAATATAATCTCTAACTTCTAACTTAAGAAAGTAGAAACATTAAAACACCAAACTTCACTTATGGATACAGAGGTCTATTTAAATAGCTCCATAAGTAAACCACAAAAAAACATTTTAAAAGAACAAAAGAACACAGGAAAAAGGAACTTGTCCTAAGGCTTACACATTCTAAAGAAGTAAAATCTTACAAATTCTCAAAAGGATATTCAGAGCAGTGTCAGAGAGAGAATTTATTGTCTGATAATATTTATACATACCTCTGAATCTAGTCATTTTTCATTTTATCACACTAAAATGTTATATGTTTCTTTAATGAAATAACCCACTAGCACTGTAACATAAAACAAAATAATTTAGAACATCTGATAAATATAATTGTAACACTTTCAATCAATATGTTTGGCATTGGCTATATACTTTATATCTTAATGACCTTATACAAAGTGAAAATGTAAAACAAATTTTAACTTACAGTTAAGAAAGTAAGAGATAAGTGCTTAGAAGCACTTGGAGCCACTGGTCTCTTTTTGTCTAAGAAAACAGTGAAGAATCCTTCAAGGACTCCTCTACAAATTGTTGCCTCTTTTTAAACTGTTTTTATTTAGTCTGACTTCTGAAAAGTCATGGTCTGTGTGTAGAACATGCCAACAAATTCTGTTCTCTTTTTCTCTATGTTTTTCTTCTTGTCCAGTTACTTTTCAGAGAGCGTAATGAATTTTTGGCTGCGCATGTCATGTGGTATTTGTTTATTGCTCTATCTTTTTGGCGTACACACAAAAAAGAGATCAGATTCAAAAAGGAGAACCCACAGTCCTGGATAACTACATATTTACAATTACACGACTTTTTAATAATTACAAATGTGACAGCCAAGCTAAAAAAGGAGCAAATTAAAGAGAACAGAGAGAGAGAAAATGAGGATTGCTCATCTCAGAAATCTGAATCATTCCAATGAGAAAGCTTCACCTGAAAGTTAACTGCATTTCAGTTAAATGGTTCCTTGTATTCACTAATTCCTATGTACTAGAAAGTATTCTAAGGGTTTAAATGAATTCTCCCATTTGCTACTAAAGCAAACCTACAAAGTTGGTATTCTATTTACATCCATTAAACAAATTTGAAAGGTGAGGCTAAGAGGTGAAGTTATTTGCAAATGTTTAAATAAGCGTGAAGCCAACAGATGAGTCCAGAATAGTGTTTGGACTCCAAGATCCCTCACTCTTAACTGCCAACTATGAAAATGATGCTAATCAAGACAATGATAACTAATACCCATTTTCAAATTTTAGTGGTATAGACTAGATGGGCATAACTTTTATAATTTTACTTTTTTTTTCAGCTACAGCTAAATGGAATATTCTCAGGATGGCAAATAACCCCTCTTTATTAACCCTGAAAAATCTTATGTGATTTTAACTATAATAATACATTTCTTGTTATGCATACAGAAGCTAATAATCATTCATGAAAATGACAGAGACGGAAAGGGTAAAGACTCAGCGACTCTTCAAATGATTACCATTTTCATTAGGAATATGGAAATAGATGGTTCCTTTAATTGTAAATGTCAATAAGAAAGGAAGCGTACTTTAATTGCTTTTCTTTGTTAGTGACATTTCTCTTTCTGTTCAGCCAAAATCATTACTAGAAGTAAAAGTTTATGAAATGGAAAACATGAAACTTAACCTGGTTCCAATCCCAGACATTAATGGTGATATTCATTTAAATGGGTGGAGAAAACAACTAAAATCATACTATAATACGGACATACACTCATCATAATCATCAAATTTTAAAAATATTTTTATTTCATAATTGCTGTGATTTGAATGTCTGCTCTAAAATTCATGTTAAAATTTAATTACCAATGAAACAGTATTGAGAAGCAGAGCCTTTAGAAGTGGTGATTAGCTCATAAGGGCTCCACCCTCACGAATGGATTAATACTACTATCTTGGGAACGGGCTCCTGGTAAAAGGATGTTAGGCCCAATTCCCTCTCCCTCTGTCTCATGCACATGCTTTCATCTTTCACCTTTCCACCATGGAATGACCGTCACCAGATGCCAGTGCCATGTTCTTGGACTGCTCAGCTTCCAGAACTGTGAGAAATAAGTTTATTTTCTTTGTAAATTACCCATTCTGCTAGGTACAACTAAATCTGTGGTGTTCTGTTATAGCAATAAAAAACACACTAAGACAATATTTTTAGGGATTTTAATCTCCAATATGGTACAGTTAAGAGTCTGAAACCTGCATTGCAGACCTGTCACTCATTGTCTATGCTCCTTGGAGAGTTCATATTTAGGTCTGTGTTACACATTTATAATAGGATTTGGACCCTTTCCATTCTAAGCCTTTGTACATTTATAATTATACAGTTCTCCTACAGTGAGAATGTTGAAATACTCCAGATTTAGGCTTATGCACATTCACATTACATAACATCAACCTGCCCCTCCTCATCAAACTTTTCCTTACTTGAGTCCTTGACCCCTGAAAGCACAATGGCTTTCAGCAGGCAAATGTGCCATATTAGTGAACAATGAGAGAGAATTTGGCAGAAGTTTTCCTTCATGTGTCTCTACTTCATTCCAATTCCCAGAGGAAACTGGGCCAATCTTTTCTAAACGCAGCACCACTGCACAATACTTCAATCAAATTCTATTACCTATTCTATAAATCTGGCTTTCTTGCTTATCTCTTTTAATTTTATTGTTAACTTCTATTACAATCTCTTCTCTCCTTCAGCAGATCATGGCAGGGACTGCTATAATCTTTTCTCTCTTTCTATCTTTCTTTAGATATGTCTGGCAATTACACATGAGAAAATATTGTCACTGCCAGCTTGCTTAAGCTACCTTATTAAATATCTTATAAAGTAGCTCATCTTCTCACATTCACTCCCCAAATTTCCATTGTATTAGTTTTCTAGAGCTGCCATAACAAAGTACTACAAACTAGGTACCTTAGAGATGGATTCTCTCGAAGTGTCAGAGTCTAGAAATCAAAAAATCATTGCCGTATCTGAAAATTCATGTTCTCTCTCCCAGCTTCTGGTGATTGCCAGCAACCCTTGTCATTCTTAGATTTGCATCTATATAGCTCTAATATTTGTGTTGTCATTACATGGTATTGTCTCTTCTCTGTGCCTGTGTCTTCAAATGGCCTTCTCCTGTGTATTTTTCTCTTTCATTCTACTAATTTTGAGTTCAATTTGCTCCTGTTATTCCAGTTTCTTGAGTTGCCATTTGAGATCTTTCTAGTTTTTTGATGTAGGCGAATACTGCTGTAAATGTCCCTCTTAAAACTGTTTTTGCTATATCCCATTGGTTCAAGTATATCATGTTCCCGCTTTATATTTGACTCAATAATTTTTTAAAAAAATTCCTTTTTAATTGCTCCATTGACCCATTAGTGGTTCATGAGGATGTCGTTTAATGTTCATGTATTTGTACCATTTCCAAAGTTCCTCTGGTTATTGATTTCTAATTTTATTCTATTTTGTGATCAGAAAAGATACTTAATATAATTTTGATTCTTTTAAACTTGTTAAGACTTGTTATGTGGCCTAACATATGACCTTTCCTGGAGAATATTCTATGTTGCATTTAGAAGAACATGTATTCTGCAGCTATTGGAC